GCCATTTTTGACGGATTTTTTTATATCATTCAGTAATATTGCTGTCCTGAGCTTAAATTTGCAAAAATATTTCACCTGTGATCATTTTTCATAAAGTTATGGGGGTTTAAATATTGCCATTTTGGTCATTTTGGGACAATTAACGCGCGATATATTTCGCGCTATTAACGCGTAATATTTCGCGCTATTAATGCGTCAGAGTCAATCCGTCTTAAAATTGTTCCAAATTAAAAGAAGCTTATTTGCCATAATTAATTTATTACAAGGAGCGAAATTTATCTTTTTGTACTTTATATGGCGTGTGGGGGTATGCTTTTCATAAAAAATTTCAAGTTTTGGAAAAAAAAATTAATTTTATTTCTTACAATTAAACTTTTTACATTTAATTTAGTTATTACTGCTCCATAAAACCTTAAAAGGCCGTCGGAAGATTCAGGGCTTTGCCCTGATACGAGCAGTCTTGTTTAACTATACAATCACAATATCAATTTGTAGATTTTTTCGGATTTGATAAAAAAAATAGCTAATTTGAACTTAAGTTTGCTCTTGACATCATCAAAAACAAAACTTTCTCACCACTGATTAACAAAATTTTTAGTTTTCGATAAACTAGGGACTCTTTTCTGTCTGAAAAACAACCATCCATCCCCATTTTTTTTCCAGCAAAGGAAGGAGTAGAGTAATCCGTCGATTGTCAACAGTTTTTTTGTTCGTTTAAAAATTTATCAAAAAAATATTTTTCTGTAGTTTTAACTAATTCCAATTTTAAACTTTTTTTTACAAAACTAAATTCACCAATTTTATTAGTTTCTTTTCTCAAAGAAAAAAAACTATTTTTAACCGCTAATTTATTTTCTAACAGAAAAAACCAATTTTAAACTCTATTTTTAAGTATATGCTAATATAAATCATAACAAGACTGCTCGTATCAGGGCGAAGCCTTGAATGTTCCGACTGCTTTTTAAGGTTTCATGGAGCAGTATTAAAATCAAAAAATTGAATGTAATAAAATAAAATGAAAAAAATTTTTTTCTAAAATTTGAAATTTTTTATGAAAATCATCCCCCCACACGCCATATAAAGTACAAAAAGATAGATTTAGCTCCTTGTAACAAAACATTTATGGCAAATAAGCTTCTTTCAACCAATTTGGAACGATTTTAAGACGGATTAAATCTCCGCTTACGCGTTAATAGCGCGAAATATATCGCGCGTTACTTGTCCCAAATTGGCCAAAATGGCAATCTTTAAACCCCCATAACTTTACGAAAAATAAAAAAAATTCCGTCAGAAATGGCTAGTTAAAAAGTCGAAATTTGTCTGAAGAAAAAAAAACCCACCCCGAGCACAAATATTCCGTTACTTTCGTATCGAAAGTCGGAACAATAATTTTAAACTGAAGAATTCTTCGGTTTCTTTATGTGTTCTGCTTTTCTCCACCAACTTGACACTTAGCTAAATTGACAAACGATCACTCATCATTTTCAATTTTTCCACAGAAAAAAGTTCATTTCTAACCCTGTTCAATTTGAATTTCAGTTCAGTTGAAAGATTGTATACGCAGCAAGTAGAAAGCATGAAATCATCCGAGTATTTATAAAAACAATAAATAATAAAAAACAAGTCAAGTTTCAGAAATCGGTTCAGTGATTTTTGTTTTAATTCCATTTTACTGCTTCCATAAAGAATTTGATGACAAACAGCAGAAAAAAATTACCACTTTGACTAAAATCAGAACTCGCACTTTTAAAACAAAAATTCTTTTTCCATACTTCGCCTTTTTATAACCAAAGTCAATTGCCACATAAAATTTTTCATTTTATTTTATTTCATATAATGTTTTTATGTTATTACTGCTGCTCCATAAACCTTCAAAAGCAGTTGGAACATTCAGGGCTTCGCCCTGATACGAGCAGTCTTATTACAATTTCGATGCAATGCCATAAGTACAGAATGAACTGTCTATCTATGATTAGTATTTTTTTCAAAAATAAAAATTGAAAGATTATAATTTTTCCATAAACCAAAAATTCATGTTCTTTTTTATTTTTTTTGCATTGACTATTTTCTTTTTTTACACTATTTTTGTTAATGCGCGTAACTGAACCTAAGTTACAAGAACTCTGGTTGCTGAAAACCCTAGTTGCTGAGGTATTGAGGATTTTGCTTATAATATGCCGAGGCTGACAAGTATTAAACTGTACAAGCATTGCACTTAAAACCAGGGCGGATATAGGGGAGGAGCGGGTCTAGTTTTGACTAATTTTGAGAGAGGAGCACGCGCCGAAAAAACACAATTTTTTTATCTAAAATTTTCAAAAAGTGCCTCAAAACGCATTTTTTGGCATGTTTTTTTCACAATTTTGCCTGCGGTGAAGAAAATTTGACCAAAACAGGGTCTTTTTAGTGCTTTCGCACAGCTCGGAAAATCAATTTAGTCGACTTTTTTTTGTAATCAATTTTTTTTTTGAAAATCCGTCCCCCCTCGAGAAAAACCTAGATCCACCCCTGCTGAAAACTGCTAACTTTGATTTTTTGGCTTAACATTTTTAAGATAGCATTTTTTCGAAATTGAAATGCTTATCAATTTTTTTGCCTGGTTCGTACCAAACACATGCAACAGAGAAAAAGGTTTTTAACGCTTTTCATAAATAATGTCTGGAAAAACAAAATATTATGCTTCGGGTACTCAGGGCTAGGTAATGCAGATCAAAAAGTTAACTTTGCATGCAAAAAATTGTTTTGTAAAAGTGTTTGTTTTGTTCTGAGTTTCAAATTGACAAAAAAAATTTTTTTTGCAATATTTGAAAGAATATTTTTTTGCAACATCTCCATTAGTCCTAAAAAATTGAGTGTCGCAATAAATAAATGCTAGTTACAAGGTTTTCAAGAATAAAAACTGTATGATAGGCATTATTTACCAAACATGTTTCCGTTTTTCATGCCGAAACAACAAGAAAATACTAATTAATTCTTACACTGGATTTTGAAAAATGCAAGAAATTTGTATGATATGCATTATTTAATTGAATCAGGGTATGGAACAATATGAGTAGCATTTTCGGTCTAACGTGGTCAACCCGTAGGCAAACATAACTTATCGCTTTTTTGTTTACATTATAAAAACAATTTATCTTTTTTTATCGAGTTTTTATGTGTATTAAAAAGCGGAACGAACATACAGCAACCCCTTCTCACACCTCTTGATTAGCTAAATTTCTATTTAAAAGGCTGTTGTGTTTTCTCAATTAGCTTGTCAACCCCCTTGTTTAAAATTTTTCCTTCAATTTTCAGATTATGTTAACGTTCAAAACAATTGCGTAATCTGGTCCTTCGTCCAAGATGTTTCAACAATGAGTTAAGAAGATTGTTTCGTTTCGCTTAAGAATATGTTTTTCTCTTGTGCAATAATTGAATGACTTCTTTCATTACGTTTTGATTTCTAAGAACTTCCGCTTTAAAAGCCCGGAGCCAAAAAAAAGCCAAATTCAATCAAACAAAACATCAAATAAATCAAAGCCTGAAGCAAAAATATCTTTTTTTGGTCAACGTTTTTCTTAATTCTTTTCTTTTGATGATAGTTCCTTTTAGCAAATCAGTTTTGACGATCAGCAGTTTTGTTAATAAAATTTGCGTTTACAGTTCTTACACTACTGATTTTTTTCTTTAAAAAATCAGGTTTTTAATTCATAAACTAATTATAAACTAATTATAGATAGCAAATATCACAGAAGCGAGCATGAATGTAAATAATATTAGATCTATCTGCATTCACCTCTAAGAAAAAGAAAAAATACTTCTCAAAGATGTTCAACTTTGAATTTTGTTTTAGACGTGAAGAATCGAGAAACTGCAAAATCAACGTGACGCGACGCAAAAACTTTAGAACAAAAAAGTTTGGTGTAAGATAACAGGTTTCAGTTATTTCATACTGATTGCTCTCTCTGCAAAGCCAACACCGAAAAAAGTTCCATATAGAAAAAAAATAGAATAGCACGTCTTATTAAATTCCTAATTAAATTTTACTTTGTTTACGTCTGTTCATTTATTTTTCAGGTATAGTTTACTCTCTATCAATTTCTTCACTATTTCCAGACGAAAAGCTCTTTTTAATTTCGACATTTGAATTGCTCTTATTCGCTTTTTCTTCATTTAGCCGCTAGTTTTGCTGCTAAGTTCTTTAGAGGTTTCTTTCACCAACAAAAAAAAATGTCTGCTCAAAATTTGTTCACACTTCAAATAGGTGCAGCGTTAGTTTTATTCTTCTTTGCACAAGCATTATTTTTCTCCAAATGTGATGGAATGTTTGCTGAAACGAAACCAGACGAGCCGAACGCAACCCAAAATGAAGAAAAACGAATGGTAAACATGAGGATTGCTCGTAGCGGTGATGCTAGCGAAGATGATGACGCTGATCACGATGAACACGAAGATGATGATGATGATAACGATGAAGACGAAGATGATGATGATGATAACGATGACAAGGAATCTATTTGGTAAGTATTGTCACTTTTTTTCTGAACTTTTTTCCGATCACTGAAAGTGGGGAGGAACTTTGCCTTCGGGTTTATTTTAGGTTTCTTCAGTTTTTTTCCACGATTAGTTACGTATCACAAATTTTTATCATAATATGCCGAGTGACGTATCATTTTAAAGCCCTTTCAGTTTATGGTTGATATAAGAGGGCACGCTTTATTTACGTTGCGAAAACTTTGTTTTTTTATTGTTTTGATTTTTTAAATGTTTCGACTTTCTTAATGTTTGATTTTTTTTCGTTTTTTTTTTTTTTGCATTCATTTTTCGAATAAACCTGTTGACGAATATGCTCAATTTGATATGACTGTCAAATTCACCTCCTAAATTCTGGGTAATCTTCAATCAGATCCTCTTATCAAACCACTGACAAAAGCAAAAACAGGCAACCGCCTATGCTTGTTCTATATATGAAACTGGAGTTAAATATGTGTTTATGTAAGAACAGTGTTTTTCTGACCCAGATTGTTAAAACTGTGGAAGAGTTTAAGGTTATCGTGATTTTTTTACGCCTGAGTCGCGCTATCTTCATCAAATGATATATGTCATAAAAGTTACTTTGCTTTTTGTTTCATAGTTTTGTATAGCTTTTAAGTTTCGTATTCCTTTTTGGCTTGTCCCTATTAAACTAAATTGCTATTCAGATTCGTAAAAACTAGTCTCGAAACTTGTTCTTTTTATTGTTCCGACTTTCGATACGAAAGTAACGGAATATTTGTGCTCGGGTGGGTTTTTGTTCCGACTTTCGATACGAAAGTAACGGAATATTTGTGCTCGGGGTGGGTTTTTTTTTTCTTCAGACAAATTTCGACTTTTTGACTAGCCATTTTTGACGGAATTTTTTTATTCCATTCAAAAAGTATTGTTGTCCTGAGCCCAAATTTGCAAAGATATATCACCTGTGATCATTTTTCGTAAAGTTATGGGGGTTTGAAGATTGCCATTTGGCCAATTTGAGACAATTAAGGCGCGATATATTTCGCGCTATTAATGCGTAAGCGGAGATTTAATCCGTCTTAGGAATCGTTTCAAATTGGTTGAAAGAAGCTTATTTGCCAGAATTGTTTTGTTACAAGGAGCGAATTTTATCCTTTTGTACTTTATATGGCGTGTGGTGGGATGATTTTTATAAAAAAAATTTCAAATTTTAGAAAAAAAAGTTTTCATTTTTTTTTTCAATTAATTTTTTTAATGTTATTACTGCTCCATAAACCTTAAAAGGCTGTCGGAACATTCAGGGCTTCGCCCTGATACAAGCAGTGTTGTTTTTTTTAATTGTTACTGGAACTTGTCTTGAGAAAAAATTGCTCTCTCCAAATACCAACAAGGACAATGGGTTGCTGTACAAGTCGCAAATAATGCTGCAGCAATGTTTAAAACATTTTAATAGGCTTTTTTCCATTGTTTTCTTTTTTTCTCTTGCTGTTATTTCCGGTTTTGTTCATTCAAAAAGGCGACTAAATTAGATAAAAAACTGCCATCAAAAATCGCATCAATTTTTTTATTTTTTAGCCTGATGTCCAAAAAGATTAATTCCAGTTTTTCTTATAGTCCTACTCCTACTAATAGAGTTTTTTTATTACACCACACTTTCTTTAAGTTGGACCGTCCCATATTCAAATATTTGTTATTCTACGCCAAAAGAACATTGACTCTACGCCAAACATCTTTCAAATTCAGCTACGACATAGTTCTTTCACTGTTGTATAAATAGAATAAATGTTTCGACAAAATTGATCCCAGAAATTAAATTTCAAAAATACTTTAATATTAAAAAAATTGAAAATTTTTGGCACTTTTTGTTGTCTGATTTTCCTGGCAATTTTTAGAAAAAGCAAAAACGCAAGAAATAGCGCGAAATATGTTCAAACTAACGTTGAACATAACACGTAGTTGGTTTTCTTTTACCAAATCATGTCTAATGTTGTCTACAAACGAAAAATGCACACCTTGAAAAACCTTCATCAGTTTTTTTTAGAGAGTTCCGGATTGATAGGGTTTAAATTTGATACCATGTTTGACTCACGATCAGTTTTTTTGAAGGCAGCCAAAATTAGCTGAATACACTAGTTGGCAAAAAACAAACGCAAATTCATGTTTTTAATCTAATGTTTTTAAATAGCCTAACTTCAAGGACTGTTTTGAAGCATATTCTCAGTGAATTAAAAGAAAGTTTATGTATTGAATGACAGCAATTAATATAAACTTCCCTTTCTGAAAGTCTCAATTTTTAATTTGAAGCGTTTATAAGTTTTTCCCGGGTCCGCAAATGCCAGTTTTCATCAGCATGATTTTCAAAACGCGTGAAGTTTTAAGAAACAGCTGAGTTTAGTAAAGCTATCTCACTGATTATTTCAATTTTTTCGCTGTGAATGTTTCACGTCGCATGAACATTTTTTTACTCCGTTTATTCGAGGAAGAGTTCACTACGATGAAAAACTAAATGCAGATGGTGAAAACTGGCATTTTCATACCCGGAAACAACTGTTAAGCTTTTGAAACCAAATATTGTTAATTTCATAGAGGGCAAATCTGTTCTATTGCTTGATATAAGGACCAGTTTTGAGCTTATGTAAGTGCTATCAATTCTTCTAGATAGACACCAGTTTGAGTTTATGTAAGTACTATCAATTCTTCTTTCTGTCTGGGGACCTGCTGTCTTGACCTTGCGATCTCTAATGTCCGATGGGATCTGAAATAAAAGAGTGCAGTAAGACTTCGATTTGATGCCTAACATATTGCCTACAATAAAACTTATTAACAACCTTTTTGAATTTCCAAGCTTACGACTTTAACATGGCGCAGCCAGCAGAAAAAAAAGGAGGGGGGAAAAATCCATTAAATATAGTAGCATTTTGGGAAACACGAACGCCGGAACCTCCAGTATATTGGTAGGAGTGGATAATTAAATTTCGCTGGGGGATGATAGCAAAATACGACATTGATCCCGATGATTTCTATTTTGCGAGTACTCTAAATGCGGCGGCTATCACGGCGTTGCCTGAAGAAGTCAATGGGAAAAACCGTCTCGATTCGGAAAAGAAGTTAAAGTCTAACTTGTATCTTTGTATCGGAGATGAGGCGCAACGCATATTCAAAGCACGGAAACCGACGGTTAACATTAAAACGGAACGGTACCCACGGGTCCTGGATGAGATGCAAAATGTTTTCCAACGTGAGAGGAATGTAACTCATGAGCGGGGACTATTCTACGGACGAAAACAACGGGAGAACGAAACTTTCGAAAAATTTCATGCGGAGCTAAGCGCCCTAGAAGGAAGATGTGATTTTGCAAACGCGGCCGAAAACGTTCGTGATATTTTCATTATGAATTTGCGGGAATCGGATTGCCAACGAGAATAATCACGATCAACTAAGTTACCGGAGGAAGTTTACCGGATCGCCTTATCATATGAACGTGGTGAACGCGCACACAAATCATATACGGGAAAACCAGCTTCATCAGCTCCGGCAATTTCAATAAAACAGGAACCAGTAAATAATATAAGAAGGGGACAAGGATTTTTTCGAGGCCGAGGACGTGCGGGACGTGGAGGATATACCCAAGGATCAAGTAGTAGTGGGGGAAGCGGAAATAACCGTAGGTGTTACAATTGCGACGCGCCAAATTTTACCCTGGATCACATCGCGAGCTGTCCTTCAAACGGAGCAACATGTAACTCATGCCGAAAACTGGGACATTTTGAACGAACATGCCGAGGAATTAGAAGGGGTACTAACCAATGGAGAGGACGAGGACGAGTTGGATTGGTCAGGGAGGAAAATGAGCATCATCAAAGTACGCAAAACGTAAATGAATTGAATGAAGACCCAGTGTCGTGGGTGAGTCAGCAGGGGTGCGGGGAAAAGAAATCCATGACGTCGGGATCGGACGACTACATGGTAATGTCGATAAAAAGGAAGAAGAATGAAACAGAATTGAAAATCCCTGGAGCCCGCGTTCAAGTGGAGGTGTCAGGGAAGAAGATGTTGTTGTGGATCGATAGTGGATCCCCAGTGACTATTTTCAGCATCAACGACCTAAAAACAACGTTAGGAAAAGCAAATATTCAACTACAGCCGTCAAAAGAGGAATTTCTGGATTACAACAACAATCGAATAAACATACTAGGGAAGGTAACAGTGATGATGTCATTGAATCGCTGGGCAGCACCAGCACAAGTGTCAGTAATATCCGGAAATCATCAGTCAATCCTGGGGCGCGATCTGATGGGCACCCTAGGTCGCGATCTGATGGGCACCCAACGAAAGAAAGTGATGGGAATTACAGGGGAAGGGATCAGTCAAGAGGAGGAGGAATACGACGAATTGCAAACATACTTCTGTAAGTTCTACCCAAATTTATTTACTAGGATAGGAAAGATCCGGAATGCGAAAGTAAAAGCTGAATTTTTTGAAAATTTGAAGCCTATACAACAAAAAGGGCGCAGGATGCCAATCAATCTACAAGAAAAGGTGGATAAAGAAATTCATCGGCTGATAAATGAAGGACATATCGTAAAATTACAAGAGTGCTCTGATAAGTATTTCGTCTCTCCTATCGTCATTACAGTAAAAAAAGACGGAAGCATAAAATTAGCACTAGAATCAAGAGAATTGAACAAACAGGTACACAAAAATAAGTACCAAATGCCAAATATTGACGAATTAATAGAAGGAGTAAGTCAGATTATCGCGGAGAAAAAATCGGGGAATGTATGTTTTACAACATTGGATTTCACATATGCGTACGGACAGGTCGCATTAGAACAAAAAACGAGCGAGCAATGTAATTTCTCACTAGTCGGCGGTAAATCCACGGGGACTTATCGTTTTAAAAACGGATTTTACGGACTTACGTCAATGCCGGCGGAATTCCAGAAGGTAATAGATAATTTACTTAAGGAGTTCCCCCAGGCCAACGCGTTTATTGATGATATCTTAATTGCTTCAAAAGGAACTAAAATCGAACACATTGCCTTAATGGAAAAGATATTGAAAAAGCTGGACGTCTCCAATGTCGCGTTAAAATTGCGAAAATGCGAATTTGTGAAAACGGAGTGCGAATGGCTTGGATTTCGAATTGTGGAAAGTGGTATAACGCCCTTAGTAAGAAAAACACAAGCAATAGAAGACTTGAAAACCCCAAAATCTCGAAAGCAGTTGAAATCCTTGATGGGTTCACTACACAGCTTACACTAATTTTTACCCAAACTTGCCGAGTTAAGCGCACCGTTAAGGCCACTACTGAGCCAAAATAACTATTTTGTGTGGACACCCGTTTGCGAAAATGCGTTCCAACAATTAAAATCGCTTGTGGAAAATATTGTCGAATTACGACATTCTGACATTCACCGTGAAACTAGAATCATTTGTGACGCTAGCCACGATGGCCTAGGGGCCGTCTTAGAACAGTATGGCGCATCCGGGTGGCATCCGATTTCGTTTGCATCTCGTTATCTTAATCCGGCTGAAAAAAAATACTCCACAAACGAATTAGAAATACTCGCGGTAGTGTGGGCCACGGAACATTTTCGGAATACGGTCGGTATTTCACAGTGATATCTGATCATAAAGCGCTACTTACATTGTTGAATTCGTCACCAAAAGGAAATAAAACATTTTTCAGTCGCTTAACTCGATGGTATGATTGCCTGGTGCCATACAATTTTAAAGTTGAACATCGACTAGGGTCAAAAATGGGGATGGCTGACTATCTGTCTCGGTTTCCGTCCGCAGAGGCACCCGAGACAAGTCATTACGATGAAAATTATACAGTAGCAAAGATAAGAATGATAAACGCGGCGTTGAGGCCCAAGGATAAAATGAAGCCTAGGGGTCACGAAGTGAACAGCATTCAGCGAAAACCGACGGTAGGGGGCTTACAGTCATGTTTCGACACAACGAAAGCAGTTTCATCCAATGAGAATGAAAGAAAAGACGATTATGCAAATATTCACCGTGAGCACTAACGCCCAATAGAGGGCGTGTTTACATGCAACCGACGGTTAACCAATCAGCGTCGAGATATTTGCATACCGGAGGAAATATGTAAATACCGAAGAACGAGATTCAGACTTTGTTCTCATTGCTTAAATTACAGTTGCAAACACAAAAAATTGACTCAATACTCTCGAAACCCTTCCATTTCAACTAACTACAAGTGCAAGCCTTCTGTGTCGAACATTTACAGTTGCGAAACATCCGTCTTACAAGATTACAGTGAAAAGCCACCTACTTTGAAAATTTACAGTAGTAAAGATTATAGTGAAAAGCCAGTTACTTTGAAAAAATACAGTTAGCGAATCCGAGAGAAATAACATGAGTAATTCGCCAGAAAATAATGATCCTTCAACTTCGGCAATAGTCAACACATCAACTAATTTGGGAAATGTTAATCTAAATGTTGTACTAAACCGCTTAAATCAACCTCCTAGCGTTAGTTCGGATTCCGATATTGAAATGATACCGCCGGAAAAACTTGATACCAAACAAACTAATTCTAAAAAACTAAATACAATTATATCTTATCCACATCAGTTCCCCGGTTTATCGTAAACACTTGTACAAAATGAAAAATGGATCTATTCCATAGTGCCGTCGGATAGTAAAATAGTGAAGAAAATTGAACACCCGGAAGTTTCGAATTTAAAATTAATCGAAGCAAATATTGAAAAAGACCCAATTATGAAGACCATCCGAGACAACATCAGAGACAGCAACCCACGAGCAAAGAAGATTATTACAAGATTAGGACAATTTTACGCCCAGCATTACAACGATTTCGCAGTACGGGAGAATTGCCTGTGGATGGACGGCGGGTTAGCAATACCGAAGGACCTATCATCAGCAATTCTGAATCGTCTCCATTATAACCACCATGGGAGGGATAAGATGTTCGCGGCCGCAAAGGACGTGTGGATTCCCCTTATGCACCAAAATATTGCGACCACAGCCAAATACTGCAAAAGTTGCTTAGAAGCAGGTAAAAACCTTAAACCAGACATTCCGAAAAATGACATGGGGGAAACGTATGATCCTAAGGAACCAAATGATTTGGTCCAATTAGACTTCTGGGGTCCAGTAAACTATGTTAGGGGTCGGAAAAAATATGTACTTGTAGCAGTAGATACTTTCTCGCATTGGCCGTCGGCGTATGTTTGTTCAAGCAACAAATCCAAAAGTGTATTGAAATTCCTAAGAAAATACATAAATACTCATGGACACCTAAGGAAATTGCACATGGATCAAGCCACGGGGTTTTTCTCTAACGAAATTCAAAATTTCTGTAACTACGAAGGTATCGAACTTATTAAATCTCCGGTTAGGGACCATCGCGCAACAGGAATGGTTGAACGGACTATTGGGTCGATAAAAAATTATGCGTTGACTTATCTCCAGGAAAATAAAACTACAAGTTTGGGTAGATGATATCCCGTGCGCTTAGTGCATTACGTTTCGTGCCACACTCTAAAACTAAACTAACGCCGTTCGAAGCATACCATGGTCGAGAAGCAAATACGGCACTGCGAAATTTAACGAAAAAGCCGTCATTGAAAAACCTAAATTGGAACAATGTCGTTAATCAAAAGTTATCTTGTTTAGACAAGGCGGGAAACCTCCCAGAAGTTGAACTTACCCTAGATTGGGAGAAGCGAAGTGACTTACTGTACGCCCCTCAAAATAGGAAAGCTCCAATCATTTTGGACGATGACGTGGTAACGGATCCCAAGGCTCCGGAAGTTGTGGACCCCAAGGAACTAGGCCCACCCAAGATCCCAACATGGCTGAAAAAGCATAAAACAAGTTCAACGACGGTGTATCAGAGGACCGGGAAGACGGATCCAAAGGACCCAAGGAGGTATAAACGTTTGCCATTAAAAAATGAAAAAATGACTAAACATACGGTGCAAATGGAAAAAGGGTCGTTACTAAGGCGGAGTGGTGTGTCTTTTAGATCGGCGGCTGAAGAAGGCTAATTGGGAAAAGAAGCGAGGAGTGCACCCCTGGATCGAGTAGAAACGTAACTAGTACACCGGCCCCAAGCGATTCAAATAAATATAAGCGAAAAGCGGAGAAGGACCGAACCGCAATGGAAAATGCAAAAAAAAATCAACAAAACAGCGATTAGTGGAATACTCGGAGGACGAGAGCGAGGACGACGACGACGACTACGATAGTGAGTGGGAAATTGGACGAAGGGAACCAACCATAGGTGCGGCGAACGAAGGACAGGATGTACCGTCGGTTAGTGTGAACTCACCACGATCCGTCGGTGGAAAACGATATAAAAATCAGTACGAAACGGCGACGCGAAAATCAACACTGCAGAGACGCGGAGTTGACAAAATAGGGGGGGGGTTATGATCCACCGCATAGAACATAAATGAGGGAATCGACAAGAAGAGACAAAGGAGAAAAGTAAACCTTAAGAGAGGTTTGGCGGGTGAGAAAACTCAACGAAAACTAAAAACTTAACTAGAACATTTATACAATACAAAACAGTAACATAAAGTTGATAAATTTTATCTACGCTAAAATTTATTTGTGGTTGCCCGAATGATATAGGGACCAGTTTTGAGTTTATGTAAGTGCTATCAATTCTTCTAGATAGACACCAGTTTGAGTTTATGTAAATGCTATCAATTCTTCTTTCTGTCTGGGGACCTGCTGTCTTGACCTTGCTATCTCTAATGTCCGATGGGATCTGAAATAAAAGAGTGCAGTAAGATTTCGATTTGATGCCTAACAGTTTGTCTACAATAAAACTTATTAACAACCTTTTTGAATTTCTAAGCTTACGACTTAAACATGCTCTTGGTCTATGAAAAAACTTCGTTTAATTTCCACGGGTAAAATATAACGAGGCATAGATTCGCTTTCCACTAAAAACTTTCAACCGTTTTCTCGCGTCACTGGAAAACCTTTGGAAATTTGATATGATATATAACTCCGTCCAATTGACTGATATTTACTTGAGATAATTGATTTTGAGCAGAAAAACAATATAGAATCCAAAATTTTTGACGCCTTCAGTGGTCGCAATAATAAATAATCAAACTTTCGATCCAGAAGAAAAAAATTCTCATCAAAATTATGACATCTTTTCAAAAACAATACTAATACCTAATTACCCTCTAAACGCCTCAACATTTTCTAAACTCATTCCAGTTTCTCCATCGAAACTGACTGATCGAAAGATCTGTTTGTCAGGGGTCTAAGCTGACGTTAAGACAGAGGCTATTTTGATTTGACAATTTCAATCATTGTTATTTGTTTTTTTTGTTTCAGATTTGAATATTTATTATCAGTTTGGGTAAAGTTTTAGTGCTGAAGAGTAGCTAATTTGCAGTGAACTGAGTTGAACGCATGTTCTTAAATAACTGATCAGCCATATCTTTTGGATTTTCTGCTTTGACTGATTGCACTCTATATTTCCTTAATTAGAGGGTACTTTAAATCTATCTGAAGTCAGAAACCTGTCGAAATCTCCTCAAAATAAACTTATTTTTAGTTATCTTTTCTTTTGCACTCCGCGCCTGAAAAAAAAAGATGTAATTATTGTTTTAAGTTCAAAAAAGCTTTTTTAATTTAGTTGAACACAGTAAAGTTATTTGAGTTCAACTTTTGAAGCGAGCGTGACAATTTAAAAAGTAGGGATTGTTTGATTTTAAAGAAAACAAAATAAAAAAACAATTGCTGTTAATTTTTTTTTGCTTTTTTAGGTGGTAATTAGTTTTTTTTTCAAAAATATTTTTTGCTTAATGAGTGTTTGTTTAGTAAATTTTCTAAGAAGAATAGCAGCTTTTCAAAGAATTTTTTGCACTGTAATTTTCATTTATGCTTTGATTACTTTTAGTTCCATTTTAGGAACACGACTTTCGGTTTCCTGATGTATTTCTTGATGGTGTTATTCTTCGCTCTTCAAATCACACTTCTTATTTTCTGCCTCGGAATATTCGTGAAGAAAATGTGCTGCGAAACTTACCCCGAAGACTCACAACAAACCGAGCAGAACGTACATATCGGCACAGTTAATCTCGGTCATACACCTGATAATAACGACAGTTACGATGACAAAAAAGAGAAGATACTGAAATACCTCAAAGACCCAAATAATAAAGATACAATTATTTTCACCCCCGCTCCCGACAGCCCCTTGGTAAACAACTGGGTCGGCGACGGAGTCCTGGCTACTCAGAGTCACTTATCGATCGATTCGGCAACTACGCAATACAGCCGACCCGATTCTCGAATGTCTGTCAATACCTACGATAGTTCAATTAGCATAAGTGTCGCTACGCCGAATGGAAAATGGACATGTCCTATATGTTTAAACTACAAAGAAGTGAACACAATTTGTCTGCCTTGTAAACATGTGTATCACAAAGGATGTCTGAAAGATTACGTCGTCTATTCGCTCGAACATAATTTGCCATTTCGATGTCCCATTTGCAGATGCAGCTTACAAATCAACATAGACTACAAAAAATTAGAAGCACCCTGAAAAAAAGCTATTCTCTACCAAAAAAATCTCGTGAACACCCCCCCCCCCCAACTCCCTCGTATAGTATCTAATAGAGATTTTCCAAAAGTGAAAAAAAATTAATTCAACGGCAGAACATGTATTTCACATAGCTTTGGAGAGAATTTTTTTTGCAATAGGAGAGAGGTAGAATACTTAATAACGCAGATTTCAGCCAATTTTTTATTTTATGTTTTCCTCTGATTTGCTGTTAAAAAGATATTGTAAATGTATATCGACTATTAAATATCAGAATTTATGTACAAAAAATATGCTGCCACATTGTTTTTAAAAGTCCTGAAAGTCCTGACAACAACCATATTTCCGACTGACTGCCCAGTGAAGATAAAACTTTGGTTAGTTTGCAAACTTACACTTTCTGATTAGGCAGAATAAATTTCGGTACGATTCTTGGAGATACCTGCGCTATAAAAATCTACCTGCTACAACGAGTGTTTTTATTCCTAGAGTCATCAAATACAAATGTTTTGATCAATAGGAAAACGGGAGCAACAAAATGATGAAAATTTTTTGGGAATCCAAATTAAGGCTGAAAGATTTTCAATATGTGGCAAAATTGACTACTTATAAGCTTTTCTCGGTGAGATAAGTCAGACTTGAAAATAAAAACATACCTTAGCTCATGGGTAGATCTAGATTTTTCTCGAGAGGGACGGATTTTCAAAAAACAACTCGAAAATTTTTCAAGCTTTTTTTAGGTCGACCAAATAGAGTTTCCGAGAACTCCCTGAACACTAAAAAAATCCTATTTTGACCAAGCTTTTTGGGCACGTTTGGGAGATTTTTGACCAAAAAAAAACGTTTTTCAGGCGCGCGCTCCCTTTTAAAATAAGAACATATTGGTGCCAAAAGCGCTTTTCGAAAAATTTTACAGTTTGTTGGCCTAAAATGGTCGTAATAGGGCAGGGGTGTCCGCTTTTTTCTAAATCCTCCACTGCCGTAGCACATAGTTAGTTTATGACGCGGTCGGAACAATTTTTTTTTTACCCTTATGCTGCGCAGTTAATGCTTGTAGCTGCAAAACTTCAAAATTCCAATTTTTCTTGATTATTCTGTGAGCACATTTGTAGGATATAACAAATAATGACGCGAAACATATTGTCAAAGGTAAAAGATAACAGTTAAATTCCTTTTCTAAAATGATGAACAGATATACAGAGTTTTTCGAACCACGTTTTTATATATATAGGGTATTGTTGTCCTGAGCTTTACTTTGAAAAAATACACCACTTGTGACCGATTTTTGTAAAGTACTGGGTTTGAAGATTGACATTTTGGCCAATTTGGGACATTTAACGAGCGATTAATTTCGCGCTATAAATGTGTCAGCGGAGAGTTAATCCGCCTTGGAAATTGCTCCATAATGGTTGAAGGAAGCTTATTTGCCATACTTACTACTGCGTGATAGACCTTAAAAGGCAATCAGAAAATTCAGGATTTCACTCTGATGCAAGCAGTTTTGTTGAATTTTTACTCTATTTTGGGCTAAACAAGCTTCTAATGCCATGATAGAAGAACTAAAAATTTTTCAAAAATTTTTTTTTTCAATTTCGGTTAATTTTGGACAATATTTTGGAATTATAAAAAAAATTATCTTAAAACCATTTGATTTGTGGAAATTCAAAGCAAAAATACACAATTAAATTTGGTCAACACGTTTTGTTTAGAATCAGGGAGGTAAACAGGCTCAAATTTTGTAACAATATTTTTTATTGAGCCTGTTGGCCTCCTCAGTTTCGAAGTTACCCGTTTTAAGGGCTTAAGTTGGGTTTAAAATTCCTTAAAATAAATTACACCGAAAAAATCTTTTGAAAATTTCAACTATATGTTATCCTCATTGTTTTTTGATAATCATGTTTGAATTGATATACATTTTATGTTTTAAATTAGTACTATGGAAAATTGTTCAGCTCAAAGTACAGTGAAAACACAATGAAACTCGTAAAAATGCTTCAACAAAAAACTATTCAACTTTTGAAAAATTAAAATCTTCAAAGTTCGGCATGTATTTGTCGACACAGTTTTCGACACAGTTTTTGATCAATACTGCCAAATGGCTCAAGATATTGTCTTTGGATTTTGAAGATTTTTGATTGATATACCCGAGTCGAGGTGCTCACTCTATGTTTCGACTTTCAGTGTCGAGCACAGTTCAGTGCTCGACCAAAAACGAATCACAAACAGAATCACTTAAATCACCCAAATATTTGTGAAATAGGAAAAAATTCACAAAAACTGTTTTTAAAAACTGTTTTATTTTATCAACAAACGCAGTCTTTGAAAATAGCAAAAGAAAACGAATGCGTCAGTGGCACAAACAAACGAGACATGAATTGACAATTTCGAAGCTCTACAGCAAACAAAACTCAGTTGAAAACTACAGTTGTTTTTGTTAGGTGAATAACAAAACAACGCGCTGTTTATTCTCTTGCAGTCAACCTGTTTTAGTTTGAAAATTGAGTATAAGTGTTTTCCTTTAGGATTTATCAAAAAAACCTAAATTTTCTAGGGGAAAAGGAAGTTTTAACGGATTGTTTGTGCTCTTAAAAGGTTAAAATGTAAAATATTTTTCAACAGATGGCAATGACTGCACATTTTGACTGAGCCGTATCAAAATTTAGTAAATGCGTTTACAGAGTGGAGTGATTGAAGTTTTAACATGTTCAGACTGAACGCATTATGTTGCACTTATAATAACAACTTCATTTTACATATTTATTGGTTGAAATTTATTTCAGAGTTAATTAAACCATGGTTTTTGCTCAATACTGCCAAATGGCTCAAAATAATGTCTTTCGATTTTGAAGATTTTTGATTGATATACCCGAGTCGAGGTGCTCACTCTATGTTTCGACTTTCAGTGTCGAGCACAGTTCAGTGCTCGACCGAAAAAGAATAGTCGAGACAGGGGTATGAGTCGAGCACAAATTTGAAACATACCTCAAGCACGGTCGAAACACAACTCGAGCACAGTCGAAGCATACCTCGAGCACGATAAATACCTCGAGCAGAGTCGAAACATACCTCGAGCACGGTCAAAGCATACCTCGAGCACGGTCGAAATATACCTCGAGCACAGTCAAAACATACCTCGAGCACGGCCGAAATATACCTCAGGAACGGTCGAAACATACCTCGTACATTTTTAGTGAATTAATTGAACCTAAAAATTGAAGGACGTGAGCAACATAGTGAAGCATTAAGACCATGAATTAATATAAAACCATCAGTAAAAATTTTCTTTTTTTGCTCAAAACATTTTCAAATTTTAGATGATTTTCAGTTCTAAAGCAATTGAAGGCAATAAAATAGGGCATCAAAAACAGTTTGAATATAAAATCATGAGAAATAAAACGAAGCCTTCCGACCATGAGTTAACAAAAATCACCAGTACAGCATTTGAATTTGCTGAAAAATTTTCCGATATTTTTCAGTTTTAAGAAAACCTAAGGCAATTTTTTCAACATTAACACAGCAAAAAAACAATCCAACTTAGAGTAACAGAGTAATCAAAATACGATTTGCGATGAAGTTTTATAATGACGAACAATCTAATGCTCAAGTTGTTGCAGCTAAAAATGTACAAGTTTCTTGATGAATCTCAGTTTGAAAGCCTTTTCAGGCAACCAATTATGAGACTTTGTTGATCATTTGATGATTTATCACTTGAGAAAATTCATTCTATTGACTTTCAGCGTTATTTGATCAAAATATATTCAATCGTCGTCTTCTCTCATCCAATTCCTGACACATCATTCAGATAAAAATTTCTGACACAAAATTAACATGCAGATTAATTTGCAAATTCATATTTTCATTTTAATTTACCTGAGAATAACTATAACATATCATAAAACTGAAGGCATTTTTAGAATCAATATTTTAGACATTTTATAAATTAACAATTTAAAAATTTTACAGAGAAAAAGGAATTTTTTGTTCAACACAAAGCAACGCAGAGCTTCGCATCAGTTGTGAGCCACATAAAATAATAAAATCAGAGACGAAACTGGGCTTCGCACCACTTGCGATACGCAACCAAATCGTAAAAAAAAATGACAAAACACCAAAAATAACTTCCGAAAATTTCAAATTCTTGCTTCAAACTAAAAATCAATTTGATGAAAATGTATGGCAGAAGAAGTATTTGATGAAAACGTTGGCAGAAAACGTACAACAACCAGTAATGAACTTGTTTGAAAAATTTCTTAGTGCGTTACAATATAGTCAGTGGAAAAAAAACAAAAACAAAAACAAATTCTGAAAAATTAAAATTAGAAAAAATTCCTTGAAATATAATTTGAAGTTGGAAAACCTACAGCTGCAACAATGTCATTGTTGTATTAGATGCAATTCATAAAAAGCCTTAAAAACAATTGGAATTTTTGTACCGATTGGCAACAAAAGCGCAATCAGAACTGGTGCATCTAAAACTGGTGCTGTTACAATCAAAACTGGTGCTGTTACAATTTTCATAAATCTTTAAAAGTAATAATACCCATCCATACTGAAGCGCATGTTCCCATCTGATTATATTTAACCCTCAAAACCACCCATTATGAATTGAATAAGACCAATTAACAAATCGCTGAAATCAATAAAAAACAAAAAAAAAGAGAAAGATAAAATGGGCAAAATCAGTTTTGGTAAGTTTTATAAATTACTGAAAATTCAGTTATAGTAAAAAAATTTAAATGTAACAAAACGAATGCTTCAGAAACAGTCAATAAAACCCTACCAGGTAAAAAAAATGTGCGTCATAAAAAAGAGAATGAACGGACAGACTGACAAAAATTAGGACGAAAACCACAAACCCGAAACAGTTTGTGAATATGAGAATTTGTTTGAAAAAATAATTACAATCTGAAACAGTCTTTACATAATTATTACTTAAATGGTGGCAATCTTATATGATTCTCATCAGTTTGAGCATGTCCTAATTAATAATTACCATCATTACTAAAACGAGTGTTCTGTGAAAAAAAACAGAACAAATTAAAAAACAGAAGAATTACTTTGAAAAGACAGATTGGCTTGAAAAAATGAAAAAAAAAAAAAAGAATAGAGACGTAGAAACTTAGATATGAAAACTCAAAAAACAATACCCACAAAAATTTTTCGTTTGTTTGGATGGTTATCATAAACAGCCTTAAAAACTTGAAAATCTGTTACCAAGCGGCAAAAAAGGCTCAATTTTGAGTCAACCTTTGTAAGCCGAAAACAAAACTGCAGTCAAAAAACTTTTTTCAACAACCGTCTGCATCTAAACGTAAGTCAGCATTAATGTACAATTTGCCCTCACAACTACACAAAATAGGGAAAATGAACCAAAATAACTCAAGTAATAACCAATTCATCAAAAAAATATAATATAAAATTACTCAAAGTCAAACTTGGTAAAAACGGTTTAGACAAACACATGCTTTGAAAAATACGCCAGAAAGAAGTTGTATCAATGGTTTAGATGGCAAATAAAAAATCACAATGCACCAAAAACAACCACGAACACGAGAAAAAAAACTTTTTTTTTCTAACAGATGCGCAGCGGGGCCAAAAAGTTATCCAAAAAACACAGAAAAAAAACAAAAAAATAAATCAAAAACAAGTTCTTTCTAACGTTTGTTTTGAATGCGGTTTAGTATGGGTAAAAACGCAGAAAAAACAATTGTCAGTGCTAAATAATTATCAAAAATAAAAAATGACAAGAGGTAATTAGGCCACAAAACTTGAAAAAAAGCGTCAAATCAAGAAGTAAAATTTTGGTCTGTCAAAAGTTTTGATACTCTCTAGTTTCACAAAATCCTAAAGAAACATAATCAGCGCGCCTTTTTAAAATGCAGATTTGTTTAAAATTTCATGCCGGCCAGACTTTCCATCAGAACAGATTGTTTCCCCGAATAGCTTAAGTGATTTTGTTAAACTAGTTAACAAACTGAAAAAGAAACGACAGTCATAATTGATAACGCTTGCTAATCGCATAACAAAACTAGCTTGATGTCTGAAAATTGATCTATTCGATAGTTTTTTTTTCATTCTGGGAGAGTGTAAATCCTTTTCCTTTGTAATTGTGAATTTAAAATCAATTTATAAAGATCTCAAAAAACAACCTGCAAAAAAAAAATTTTGAGCGGGAACTTAAGACATTTTTTCTGAGAAAAAGAAAAATCTTCACTCCCTTTGAAAAACTTTCACTGGGAAACTGTGCCATCCAACATTCAAGCTCACAAGTTTTGCATCGTCGGCAAACTTTTTTGCAGCAAGTTTGAAGGTCATTTATGAACACCAAGAAAAACAATGGTACCAAAAACTGCTTCGGGGTACACCACTCTTAAATCTTTCTGATTTTGAAAACGTTCCATTTACGATCAATCAGTTAGGATTTGATCAACTTCAAACCCTTGTGTCGAATTCGCTGTTTGTGGAGCTTGCACAACAAATTTCCGTGATCAAAACGATCGAAAACTTTACTGGATTCTGTTAAAGACTATCAATTTTGTTTCCGTTTTCTATGCCTTTGTACATAATTTGAATAAATATTACTTACGTTGAACGATTGCTTCGGAATACGTGCTGGGATAAGTGAAACATGTATTGAAATTGTTCTTGCAATCTTTTAAAAATTATTGCATTTGGAGTTTTCGAAATAACTGAAAGCAGTGAAGTTGGTTGGTATTTTCGATATTGCTTTTTTCAGTTTTTTTTGTAAAGTGGACTGCTGATTGCCCTTTACCAAAACTCGAGAAAACTTTTAGTTTGAATAATTTTCGAAAGACTTGAGAGAAACAAGGTGATAGTTGTTTGATATTCACAAACTAAAAAAGATGCACGTCGTCAGTGCCCTTGCTTTTTTTTACGTTCAAGGAAGAAGAAATGTCGGAGCTTTTTTGTTGAGAAAAAACGTTTAGTTGTATGGTGCTATTGATTGCTGGAATTTTTCCTAGGTAAAAGGAGAAGATTTGACATTCACAGAGGCAAAAAATTGAAAACAACGCCGCTTTTGATTCGTCAAAGTTCGCTTTTTCTTGTATATAATGCATCAAACTCGGTAAAGTTAACTCCAGAAAAGCCCCTAAATATTTGTAAAAACTTACGGTAGACTTTTCAAGTGCAATTGTTTGCTCTGAAACTATTTAATCATTTTCACCAAGCTCTTTTGTTTTTAATTTTAAAGTCTTAGTTTTATTGTGAGACTTTATGTGAAAAAGAGTCAAAAACCTTTGAAGGGTCCAATACAGCTGCACGATCGTTTTTTTTAATTCTAGTTTTTTTGGATACTTTGTGTAACGTAGATCAACGCCATGCTTTTGTATTGATTTCGTTATGTATTCACGCTGGTTTTTTCTTTAAAAATTTTCTTCGTTTTATATGTACATGTATCACTCGAATTATGACTCGGAAACTTTTTTTAATTTAAGAAGTTAAAAGTATTTTATTCTTAATAGTAATTTTAGAAGTCAACTGCGATTCAGAGTTCAATTATGAGAACCAAAATTTAAATGAGTTATCGTATTTAATATTTGTAAATTGATGTTTTATTGTCATTCAGATAATTTTCATGTAAATTCTTCTACACTTATTGAAATTCATTTTTTAAAGAAAAATTGAGATAGATCAAAAAACTAAGAGCTTAAAAATCCAACTGTTTTCCCATAAGAGGCCAGTATTTAAACTTTTAGTGGCTTTTATCAATGTATAGGGAGTTCTTAAAATGTGCTTTTATCGATACGTAGATTATGGCTAATTTTCGTTTGAGTTACCAAAATTTTTTTCATGGTGTAGCAGCTAGCTCCCTGTTCCACAGCATCAACATCCTCAACAGAAGTGAGAAAAAGCAATACCCAAGCCTTGTTACAGAAATTCTTGGCCCATCCCTCAATAACAACTCGCAGAACCAAGGAAAGAACCTTCGACGATTACTGGAAGGCAGTCCATTAAAGTAGAAAAAAAAGTGGCTGTGAGGCACGGCGTGCTAAACAACACCATTGACAGCCTCAGAAACAACAACTACCGCCCAGCCTGTGTCGAGGAGCTGACAAATTATTTGAAGGCGAAGAAGCAGCATATATTGGCGATCGTCTATTGCAGAAGAGAAAGTATGCCTCACTTATTTAGTCAACTACACTGCAATGGAATGCTCATTATTCCTGCAATTAAATGCTAACCTCCAAGAGCAAACAGAGCAAGGAATATTTGAAGCTGCACCAGAGTGCTGAATTGAAGTTGAAGACTCTGCAATTGGTAGTGGCATACAAAAGACAGACTGGCAGAACTGAAAACAAAAATTCAAGGGCAAACAACAGAGACCAACGCAGACAAGGAGGATGGCGAAGGCAAGACGTGAGCAGAAGCTGAAGGCAGAGGAAGAGTCTGCGCTTCAAAGACAGGGGTGTGGAGAGTGTGATTTGTTTTGCTTTGTGCCTTATGATTCTTCTTACTCGTGGCCCGCAAAACAATGACCACAGTACTTTTACCTACTGTTTGGCTCAGACAAACATAAAAAAGAAAGCAAACTTGAAAAATTGTGTAAGACTATCAAAAATTTTTTTAAAAACTCAAGTATCTGTACATAGTTTCTTAGACACTTGAAGTTTCTGAGAAAGTGTCTAAGAAACGATCTAATAATAAAATCTTTGAAGTTCATGGACCCCGAGAACGTTTTTTTTGGACCAAGCTGTGTATAATTTTCAATTGAAGCTGAAACTAAGTACTGAAACGTCTAGGTCGAATAAGGACAGGAAATGGTATGAGCAGTTGGCAGTGAAAGCTTGATCGCTGGTGCAAAAAGAAATTGACGAAGAGTGTTGGGCACCAATTTTCCATTTTGTGAGGCGTCAATCTGATGCAGGCTTAAAAACAACATCAGAAAACCAAAGAACAAAGTTAGAAAAGCTGACCGAGAGACAAGATAATGTTCTTGGGGGAGAAATGAGCGATCAGTTAATGTGCTTGGTTTTAATGAATTGTCTGGATGGGTATATGAAATGCTGTCAATGCGTCCGAAGCGTACAATTAGAGACAAATGCAGGGTAACGCATTTTATGGCTGATCTCAAAATTTTCCTCTCACAATTGAAAAACCAAATCTGGTGAATCTTTATGTCAAACAGAAGCCGCGGCAAAGGCATATGCAAAAACAAGGCAAACCTCAAGAGACAAAGCCGTTGAAAAAAACAAGGCAATTACTCAAAGATAATGGATTGCTGGCTATGCGTTTTGATAAAAGGGCTTGTTTTTGCGTAAGGAGGAAACAAATGTATGATTCAAAACTGAATTTTTTGTTGCTAGTACCTCAGTTTTTGAAAAAAAAATGGCAAACACTACTGTGAGGTGATACTGAAAAACTAGAAGAAAGTTAACAAAGAATACTTGCCATGAAGAAAAGGGACGAGATAAATGATCATTTATATTTAAAGATGAGGTCGACAATGAGGCAACCCGTCCGTTTGTACTTTTGGCTGAGGTGCACAAGGCTGAGTTACCCCTACGACCCGTACTATCCTTTCCGGGCAGCTCGTTTAAAAATCTTAACAAAACCCTTGCAAAATTTTTTGACAACATCGTTGGAGTCAATATAGAAACCAAATTAAAAGATGCCAGAAAAACAATTGAAAACTTTGCTCTAGATCCGGATGAAACCATAATATCTCATGTTGTGAAAAAATTATACACTTTTGTTCCCCTGAAGGAAGCAATTGAAATTGTCTTACAGAAGCTGTACAGCCAGAATTTTCGTCCCGAATTTTAAAGAGCAACCATGAAAAGGCTTCTGAACAACCGCGTAGAACACGCGTAATGAATTTAGGAACAGGGAGTTAACTCTGAAAAATTAGTCCTAAAAATTTTTGGTTTTTGATTAACCATTTTTCATGTCTAATATGACATTATGTCTCAGAAACCTCCAGACAAATTGATTTAAATGTTTTTGATTATTTTTTTTTGTGATTATAAGTGTTTCAATCTAAAAAGTAGTTTTAGAGGTCAATTTGGATTGGCTGAAAATAAATCATGAAAGGGGTTCTTTCGTTTAGGTATGGTCGTCAACATGCTCACTATGGCCCAAATCAGCATTATATAAATACATCAATAAACAATTTTGCAGGAAATAAGTCAAGTCAGCCTTTAAGGCGTTGTTATTAAAGATAACTATTTCAACCGCCCTTCCTCTAAAATAGCACTAATTAAATGTTCTATGAATTGCGTCTTACGCAGTGATCTACAACCCCGTATACAAAAAATACCGCTCCTGAGAAGCGCGATGATGGTCTTAGTTTTTATATAGTTTCTTATTTTTGAGTCGCTTTCATGCTTTTTTCTTACAGAGTGTTTCAGATATGCGCTGCATTGTGCAGGTAGCTGCTGCTGCGGCACCACCAGTGCAGCAAAAAATGAACGAGCAGAAGCTGTTCTGTTCGAACTGTAGAACTCTCTGTTGGTGTCTTGAGTTTTTCAGTGATTCGTGGTACTTATAGGCGTCCTGCTGGTTGAAAATTTTGGCATCAAATAAGGTATGGCTAAACCTGTAGCCCCATAATCAGTTTTCTTTCACAGTGTTCTTTTCATAAGTTGTGGTTGGATTGTTGACAAAGCTCTCGCCTTGCAACGACTGAAGTTCGGCTCGATATCAACATCATAGCAAACCTCGCTCATGAGGTTGGCAAAGATATCTCGGATTTCGTCATGCCTCATGCGGATAGATCCGTCCTTCGCTCAGTGAAGGGCATGAAAAAGGTCAAAAGTTTGACGACATGCACATGTGAGTGGAACGTTGGTTGGTTCCCATCCATATCGGAGATAAATTCCATTTCGGAATACGGTTTTTTTAGGTTGAAATTATATCTTCTAAGTAGCATTGCGTTTAACCAGTTTAAGCTCCTTTTTCGGAGGCTAGCTCAAGTGCGTGGTTTTCACTGTCACTCAGTTTATTCAATATTTTCATTCCCTTTTGGTTTGTACTTTCAGTTTAAGTTTAAGTTTTTGTGTAGATTTATTCTTGCTTAGATAGAGCTGTTAATGGTTCGTATGTGTCTAAGACTGAAGATGTTTCAATTAACAATTCTAAAATTTTCTCATAGTAAGAAGGTAGCTTGATTCTTAGACCGCCCGTTTTCAGTGGCAAAGATGCGAAATTGATGGCGAATATGATCTTTACCAATCAAATTTGGAATTATTTTTTCCTGCATTATTTTCCCGCAGGCCTGCATGTTTTCTGTGGTATTGAAATAATTTTAGTTCAAAACGATAGTTTTTCTTGTACCTCTTTGGTGTAACAAGAGTAAAAGGTTTGTGGTGATGTTTTCGCGAACTGGACAATTTTTGTTCGTTATTTTCTATTGTTTTTCTAGCTGAGTTTCTAAGAAAATTTTGCATTCAGTACTCTGGCTCCTTTCTTCATTTTTATTTCGCTATTTTTGAATACTTTTACTGCCTCGCTGTGTTTTTCATCTTTTTCAATGAGCTGGTATCTTGTTGCTTTTACTTGGTTCCTAAATATTTTTCGTGTTTGATAATGTTGTCAAGAACTGTTCGCAGACTTTTAAATTTCCGACTGCGTCCGTATGGTCTGCATACCATTTCTGTTATCGTTGACTAACTTTTATAAAAAATAAACGGGCTAGCCCCTACCTCGCTATTACTATTGAGTTTCCTCGTGTAACTCCTTTTATATATAGGATTACTTTTTAATGAGTTCTGTATAGCGGGTAGTATAGAAGGGCAATAATTTTTAAAGCCAGCTTCCGGTTTAGGGAGTTAAAGCATTTTCGTGTGCATCACTATTACTGCATCGAAATCGGTTTTCTCGAATTGCTTCCTAAGCGTATGAATTGCATATTCGATGCCACACTTTTGGCCAAGGCATAGTTGATAAATTCGCTTTTCAAGCATTTTGTGATTGTTCTACCTGTTTTTCTGCGGATGACGTCGCCTGTACCAATTGGCCTAACTCCTGAGTTTTTATCAAGTGGAACTAGTCGACATGCATTATATGGTTCAAGAAGCTAAGGACTTAACATTTCTGTTAATTTTTTTCTGTGCAATTTTGGCTAATGTCTTTGATATTTCAACTGACTGTCTAATGACCAAAGTGCGTTAGTATGCGTCTCCACGCATTTGATTCCAGACCTGAGTGTCCATGAGAACCTCATGTTGTCAGACTTCCTAAATTTCTGGCCGTTTATTTGGTCGAATGAGGATGAGTGGAATGGGATTGTAACTTCGGAGCATGATTTTATGTAGTTGTTGATTATTGGCTCCGCAGGAGGGTGTTTCTCACTGAGGATTTGCTCATCAGTTTAATTTTTGTCTGTTTCCTTGAGTGAGAGAACACTCTTGGAGGTATCAGTTGATTTGGCAATAGCACACAAAATTTCCCATGTGCTCATTGATTTAATATTTTATTTAATATGTGCTTCAGTTTCTACTTTTTTTTTCTTCACCAAGAGGGTTTGCACCGCTTTTCCCACATTGAAAAGTTTGTCCAGTTAGCGCTTTTGCAATTGCTTGAGCCTTCTTGCTGTAGATTTGAAGTACCATCCATCACTCTCCCATTTAGTTTTGCATAGCATGAGGTGAGGGAATATCCTTTATCACTGTTGCTTGCATTGCGTATGAGTTTTTTTGTTTTAATGAACGAGTTTAGGGCTCTATTTGGAGTTTGTATAAAAATTAACCCAACTGTGTTTTTTGCGAGGAACTTGAAGACTGGCTTCCAGTGAACTACTTGGCTATAAATTGTTCTTATTTAAATTTTTAGTTCAGGTATGGGATTTGACCAAAGGTAGGGTGTGGCTGTTACAGTTTTGTTGCGGTTTGCAATTGCAGGAGTTTGATCGTTGGTCAAGGGGCTTTTTGAGGTTGAGTTAGAGGGAATTGATAACAGTTGTACTGTTGTCTGTAATGAGGGAGGTGCAGCGAATGCAGCTGAAATTGTCATCGTGGTCGCTGCCTCGGTTAAAGCCGCTGCAATTTACATGCATAAAAGCTGCGCATGTTATGCATCAAATTCTTCGACCGCGTAGGTGGTTGTTACATGAGATACATTGTTTATGATTGGATAATTTATGAGGAAGAACTGTTTAGTCAGAGTGTCAAGAAAATTTAGAAATAATTCAAGCTAGGAAGTTTGTAAAGATTTCATAGCAAATAACGAAAAGTGGATGCCATCTCGGCAGAACATTCGAGGGGTTAGATTTAAGGTAAGATTAGGCGAAATAATGAGTGAGTGTGGATGAACAAATTCAATAATAAAGTTAAACAGCATATGTTTAGGAATGTAGAGTTTTCGATTAACATCATTGTTATTGGATGTTTGGATTGTTTGAAACTAGGAGGATGGATTGTTTGATGATTAGGAGTTTGAAACTTGTTTGTAATTTGATTGATTAATTTTTTTCCACTCTAGCTGAACTTCTCGTGGATGCAGCCTTTTATCATTAAACCCGGCGTTACTGTATTAAGGCGCTTTGGTCTGACTGTATTGTAAAACTGTTCATACACATCTTGGAGAGTGGAGCCGCGGTACGGGTGAATTGTAGATTTTACTAGTCCTTTATGTGCCAATTACAAGCTTCTGTGTAAAGTCTGGGATTCGCATTGCATGTAATCGGGCATCCACCTGAAGCACAGATAGCGAAGGCAACGGAGTCGCTCTTATGTAGAAATGTGGTGGGATAGATGGGCAATGAATCAAAGAGTTTTATTTAAATCTGAGAGGTAAAAAAAAACGAAAAAGTGGTAGGTGGGAGCGGTACAACCTGTGGTGTTGTTGACGGGTAGTTACACCTGGTAACTCCTTCTTGCGTCTAGATACGCCAGAAATGCTTCACTCGCCTACGGCTGTGACGGCGAGATTTGGTAAATTAATCAGAAGAAGAAAGACCAGCGAGCATATGATATGAAAACACACAAGCGGTAAATTTGAACAAATGAAAGGCTATTTCATAATTTTTATCACAATAATATGTTTTTCACAACAATCAAAGTAACTGTTTGAAATTTACTCCTTCAAAAATCTTTTCAGTTACGAGTTTAATTTCTACTCATCAACTCAAATCGTCTCATTTGTATCTTTATTAGACTCCATACCAAAAAAAACACGCAAAATTTTGAGTGGAATATGGGATAAAGGGACTCCTGTAACCTCTGTTACTATGATACTTTGAACTCGCGATTTGTACTCTTGATTCTGTATTTTTTCAGTTGCAATGCACTAAAAGTGAAATGGTATCACGCAGAAAATCAAGGTTCGTGAGTTCTTTAATATCTTCGACCAATTTTAAAAAGTTTATTTTATCATTTTTTAATTTGATTTTCTTAGCTCCTCGTCAAGCGGAGAATCGTCACGATCAAAATCGGGCCACAAAGAAAAAGATGCCAAACCAGCAAAACGTAAATCCCCGAAAGTTGAAAGAACAAATAAACGTCCTTTAATTGCCAAAAAGCGGAACAAAGATACTCCGAGGAGCAGGTATGATCAAGTGTTACTTAACGAAGTAGTTTACTTTCTATCAAGTTCGTGTAATTTTTTAAAGAACTCAAATTGCGCTCTCCAATAACACAATGCAAATGACTGTTTCGAAAGTAGATTTTAATTATCAAAGTTCCCAGTGAAATAGAATTAATTCAAGTTTCTGAATTAGGGCTAGTTATTTAAAAATTTCAAAAAAAGATGCACGAATCTCAATGAGCATGAATTTGAGGGTGATATATTTTGTCAATTATGTTCAGGTTTCCTTGGGTGGCCATTTTTGAAATTCGGCCACATGATTGAAATAAGAATTAAACCAGTATTAGAATGAAGCGTTTAGATCTAAATCAAGCTCTGGAAAATTGGCCAAAGCTGCTAAAGTGGAATCATCAGCTAGTCCAGATAAAAAAATCAAAAGCAGAGATCGGAAGCGAAGTTTGTCTGCAAATATAAAGGAGAAGTCGCGAGCTAACGAATCTGAAAAGGTTAAAGAGAGTGGAGTTCCCAAGTGAGTACATATTTTTGTTACTTTACTATTTTTCGCAATAAATGTTTGCTTAATTCTTTAGATTCGTATTTTTAAGAACAATTCTTCAAAGCAGTCTAGTTGTATTTCGTGCTTTAATGTCGCATTGTATGTTTAATATAGGAGCGCAGGTGAAAAGTCGAAAGGTTAGTATCAACTGCCCGAGTTTTGATCAAGGTGAAAGTTACCTCATTCAACTGAGAATGTTTTTCAGAGCCAATTGAGGAAAAGCACGATGTTCTGGAGAAGCTCAATTTCGGCAAAAATCAATTCGGCCAGCAATATGACTGCAATTTGCACATTCGAATATGCCTAAATGCTGATCGAATCAAAAAACTGCAACTGCCAAAAGCCAACACATTGTAAGATATGTTTATCGGAGAAAATAAAACATGCAAAAAAAGTTGTTAACAGGAATCATCTGGAAGCCTTTGATGTTAGAATCTGGTGAATCATCTGGATTAGAATCTGGTGAATCATCTATTGCAGTTAAGTTGGATCTTAACTGCAATAGATATAATAATTTGAGCCTGCTTGCATTTTAAACACTTCGAGTATGCTTGCATTTTAAACACCCGTTCTTTCTAACGAAGCAAGCGTAGTGTTATATCACGAAAACATTATTTTGTAACTCAACGCGCCATTTAGAATTATGTGTTCTAATGATTTTATTGTTGACTGGTGAGTCCATGCATTTAAGGGACCATCGGGCAGATAGCATAGTCTCCAGTTCCAAGGTTCGGTTCCGACTCATCAACAGTTTTTTAGGGACTATTTTTTATCTGTGCTTTCGTTCTTTCGCTTTTTAAAGAAGCGGAGCGTAGTAATACTTCGAGGTAATTTTTGTCACCAATTCGCAAATAAAAGTGCTCATTTGGTGGTACCTTTGGAATAATTCTACCCATAGGCAATTTGATAGCATCTGTTACTACTTTCTCGGTTGCATGTGTTAGTTTACTTCCAAGTGACTGTAGCGAGGACATGAGACTTTTAATCTACAGATGAGATATTCAAATTTGGAGTATTGAAATGGCTCCATTTATAATTGTTTACAAATTTGCTGCATAGCATTGGCAAATTCAGAGCAACTGTAGCCGCTTTGTTTACACAAGCAAAACTTGTGCTATAGTATGAAATATTTTTTTCCAACCTTAGTCTCAAATGTTGCGATACAATGTGTTCATTTTGATCAATAACCAGCTATTAAGTACAGCCAATGCTAAGGGTATTAACAAAGGCTATTATATTAAGAATAGCAATTTAGCCTCAAAGTATCATGGATCTGTAGTGTAGAGGTAGGGAAGGAGACCCACAACAAAAATAAGAGGGTTCGAACCTGGGCAGGGTCGGATGTTTTTAATGAACTTTTTCGTATACTAGTTAAAATGCGTCCGCTATTTAAATTGAGACATGTTAGCTGGTAATTTTTTTTCAAGTGTACTGTACTGCTAATGCGTCATAATTCGCCTGCATCCTTTAGCAATTATGTAGACTCATAATTGACGTGCATCACTTAAGAAATTTTGTAGACTCAAAGTTTTACTCATTCAGTTTTTTCGAGTAGCGTTATCGGTCATATTTTTGCTTGCGTATGCGAAGTGCAACTTCGCCTCTGTGTGGTAGCTAGTGTTTGTAAATGCTTCAGTGATTGTGTAGCATATGCGAGGACATGAGACTCCTGGTTTCTAGGTCAAAATATCGGTTCCTCATTGCAAAAGCTCATTTTTCAAGGCTTATTCTTAAGTTTTCTCTGCTCAGGTTTTAAGAAAATGGTTTTTTTTGGTTTCGGTGCAACAGTTCTATACCCAAGTTTTGTCGTCCTAGTTGCCGCTATGTAAATTTTGTTTTAATGCTAGGCTGAGGCTGATAATTGACCTTCTCAGCATCTTTCTTTCAAAATGAGTTCCTTCGAAATGAATCGTGATATGGAAGTTTTGGTAGATGTTTTTTAGAGTCGTTACTCCGCTTTGCCTCTGTCTTCAGATTCTCATTAAACAGTGCAATCATTGCGCGTGTCGAACGTTTTTACAATTAGTTACCGTTTCAAAATAAGAATATACTTTTTCAGGCTAGAAACTTGTCTAACAAAATCACTAAATCTCTAGATTTTTTTGTTGACTAGTTTGCTCGGTTTTGTTAGTGTTGCACATATCTGAAACTCTTAAATTTTCAGAAAACAGAAGAAACTGTACGATGACAACATCACAGCTGGCCTCCACATTGACTGGCTGAAGAGAAGAGATCGTCGAACATGTCAGTAATATTAATTTAATTGAAACATTGAAAATTGCATCTTTTCGACTCAAAGTTTTGCATGTTTAGTCAAGCAGCTTTTTGACCGCGAAGACCTCAAGAAGTTACAGGTGAGCTTGAACTCTGTCAATATGGAAAAACCCATTTTAAACATTATCGAATATTTTTTCGGTTTTGTTCAGGTTGAAGAAACAAGCAAGTCGAAACACCAAAAATCCGACGAATACAAGAAAGGTGAGCACTTATTTGTGAATTAATTTCGAAAAGTAGGCGAAACTCTAATTCGTCTGGCTTTTTAGATCGGGGAAGGCACGAAAAGGACGTGAAACAGGTAGTGAAAGTAGATCCGAAGTCCTTCGAGAAGTTTCCAGATCTCGACGTACCGAACACGAGAACTGCCAAACCGACAGTCAAAGACAGACTTGGCGAAAATCACGCGGTTATTTCTCACGAGGTACTAAATTTTCAACTAATTGAGTTTTCCATCTTAATTTTTATGCATCAAAACGCTGTTGGTTGATGGTTGATTGGTATATTGTTGAATGATTACTATGAATCAACTAGGTCAGTAGCACAGACTCGAATAACATTTCAGGTCAAAGCAAAACCTGATGCGATAACTGGTGAAAGCGCACCTCCTGCTATTGATCCGAAATATGTTCCTACTACGGGAAGATACTTTTTGGTAAGCACCATATTGGGTCCTATGGTCACATAACTTCAGAAGACTTGTCATGTTTAAGTTGAAAAGAAATGAAACGTCTCGAATGTTTGACATAAGGAACACATTTTTAAGGTGTATTTATATTGAATGGTGAAAAATGGGCCTACAAATTGCAATTTCTAAGTATCAAAGTGTCATCGTTATTCTTGAAGCTAGATTCTGTAAAAATCGGGCTAGTGTAATGAAGTAATTAATGGTGTTTAGCATGATGACAGAGAAAATGGAGATTACCACGGTCACAGAAGACGCAATTTCTCTCCCATAGGTGGAAGGCGTGGAGGATTTTTGAGTAGATACGAACGTGACGATCCACGAGCGGGACTGAATGAACGAAGGTTTCCAAGGTTTGTTTTCACAGCAAGTACTGTTCATGGCAAATACTGTAATGAACGTCGTGTAATGAACGTCGTGAGTACTGTTATATAGGTCTTGGTGGTTGTTTTTTTTATTTGGTTCTGGAAAAGTCTTAAAAAGTTGTTCGGGAAAAAGTCTTAACGTTGTTCACGCTAATATTATATTTTTCGCTGTTTGAGTTTTGATTTCTTTTTGAAAGGATGGCAAACTCCAGTATCGAACATCGAAGTTTAAAAGTCACCAAAAACGTCGACTTCTAGTTTCGCAACTGGAATTTTTTTCAGATTTCCAGCGGAATTTAAAACAACCAATTGATCCAGTTATCTCAAATTGGGTTACTTCTATCTAGATACTTCTTGAAATTTTTACAGTTTAAGGCTATCTATTTTTTATTGTGAGCCTCGAAAATTGAAGTTTTTTTCAACTTTCAAACTACAAGTGAGTATTTTTTGTTTACTTGCGTTCATGACTCTTTTCCGTCTGTTGGCAATTTTTCGGATTCCCTCATGTGATGACAGCCTTTATTTGAAAAACGAACTGAAACTCCAAGCGTCTCAAATATTCTGAATCGAAATTAACGATTTAAGAAGGATTTTTGTTCGGCCTAGTGTTTTTGGTGTTGTCCAGGTCTATAAATGATTTTGTGAATTATGAAGTTTTAATGAGCCTAGCAAAAATTAGGGTCTTACTTCTTATTTGATCAGTAGGTTTTTGAAGGATGTTCATGGCAAATACTGTTTTTTTTTATTTGCAACAGTTGAGCAGCGTAATGTTAAGCAATTGACAATCAATTGGCCTTCCTGGTAATTATTTCGAACTGAATTCAGGAAATCCAGTCCAGATGTGTGGAAACATGACAAATTCGGCAAAGAATCAGAGGATGAAGCAGAAGAGATGCAACTACCAGTGACAACAGAGAAGGAGAGAAATACGGATAGGAGGGAAGGGAGAGGGGATGATGGATTAAGAAGGGTGGGTGGGGATTTGAGAGACCGGATGAACATGCGAGCCAGAGATAACCGAGAACAACGTCCAGGTATATATGTGACGCTTAATTTTTTTTTTGTAGAAAGCATTTCTTAGAAGAATTTCTGATGCTTCCTTTCTATGAGGGAAAATACGAGAAGTCAGCTTAATTCAGCACAGTTAGAAATTTTTCCCCTTTCTGAAGTTTGGTTAATTTAAAAAGCTTACTTAAAATCAATTTTTCAATCATGCAAGCGAACGCTTGTGTTATAATATTGATTACTTTTTTTTTATCGTAGTTCAGACTCTTATATAGGTCGCGATGATTTTTTTTTTCGTTTTTTTCAGAAGCCTGAAAATTTTTTCAGGCTCGAATTTTTTTTTTCGCGGTTTGGTTTTTATTTTTTTTAAAGTTCAGTTCATTTCCTTTGTTGAAAGGAAGGCAAACTTCGCTATCGAATAGCAAAATAGCAAAAGGTCAAGAAAAACATGGTTGACTTCTAGTTTTGAAAGTGGAATTTATTTTTCAGATATACCAGCGGAATAAAAAAATTATTTTTTGATCCAGTATTCTAAAATTCAGTTGCTCGTATCAAAAAAAAGTCAATCATGAATTGTTTTTGAAATTCAAAGAGCTTTAAGGGCATCTATTTTTTTTTCTTTGAAATTCGGAAGTTGCGATTTTTTTTTCAAAAAAAAACAAGGAAGTCATTTTTCTGTTTACTTGCGTTCATTGACTCTTTTCAACTCTCCGTTGTCTTTGTTCTTCCTTATTCGCACAAGTTTTGCTCAATTTCGGCTATTTTGTGCTCATAAAGTGATGCTCCAATGTAATTTGGCGTTTTAGTAGTATGTGTTTTATCGGCTTTTTAAGTAGTTAACTGTTATTGCTAGGCATTCATAGCTAGCTGGTATTGACCATTAGGGCGTTTTATTGACATCGATGCAGCGGACGCAAATGCGAAGGCAATCAACTCGTTTTTTAAAATTCCGTTCCAGAAATGTTTCGAATCCTGCTATCGGCAAAAAATTTTTTAAGACTAGTTTCATCATTTTTTGACTTGGATCATTTGTTGTTTTTTGTTGGTTGTTTTTCCGAAATTACAATTTCATATCTGCATTTCATTAAGATTGTCATTCAGAACTGAATTCTCAGTTTTAGCGGGCGTAGAATAGATTTTTTTAAAATAAAAAAATGGACCTCGAGATAAGGCAGAATTAGAAGTTCCTGTTATATTAAAATATTATCCGAGTGAACCAAAATCGATTGTGAGTCATCAATTTCCTGAAGCGGATTAAACGAAATGATTTTGATTCAGAGTGATAAACGTAGTGAGTACTCTTATATAGGTCTTGCTGTTTTTTTTTTGTTTCAGGAAAAAGTCTTAAAAGTTGTTCACGCTCATTTTTGATTTTTCGCAGTTTGACTTAAGATTTTTTTTAGTTCAGTGCATTTCTGATGTTAAAAGGAAGGCAAACTCCACTATCGAACAGCAAAATTGTAAAGCTCACGACAACGTGATCGACTGGTTACTTTAATTTGGTAAAATTCAAATAGATTTATAACGCTGTTTCCTAAATTTGCTGAGTGTAAATGAACGAAGCGATTTCGCATTCATTTAGTTGAATGTTTTCAGTGAAAGTAATAACTTTGATTTTGATGACGCCCATTTTGGTTGTTTGGCTTCTGATGTTTTCAAGGTACTTTGAACTGTAAAAAAAACTGCGCTCTCCACTAGTAAAAATGGAAATATCATAGAAATGGACCTCGAAGTAGATTTTTTTCAAGAAGTTCCTATGTGGAATGAAAATACCTTTTGATGCTCTTTATTATTACATCGTTTTATTTTTTTTGGAACTCTAAAAAAATTCGTTAATGCTCTAATTTGATTTTTTGACTCTTGGTTATTTCAAGTGAAATTCGATTTCTTTTTCTAAACGTTACGCTCTCAAAAGCAAACGGGAAATAGTGCGAAAACTTGAATTGACTTATAGTTTTAATAATTAAATAAAAGTGTAAAACAACGAAGTGAGTGTCGTTTATATAGTTCGTGATTACCCTTGCGATCAGCTTAGTGTATTATTACGAGCCATTCTTTTTTCTAATCTAACTCACAAATAAAAGTAATCACTTATTTGGAAATTTCACTGTAGTATTGGAAATTACATAGCATCTCTTCTCTGCTTTATTTGTGGCTAGTGTTTGGTGCCTATTAAGCTTCCATTGCTGAGTGTTTTGTGTGTGAGACTCTTAATCTTTAGAGTCTGAGAGGTAGCCGATTTTTACTAATTCGAGGCTTATTGTAATGTTTATTATTGCACTTTATAGAGCTGCTTTGTCGTGTTCTCGGACGTGTTTGCGAAGCGAAGCTTTGCTTCTATGTAATTTTTGTTTTAGTTTTTGTTCTGGAAAAAACCCTAAAAATTGTGCGCTCTCAATTTTTGTTTATCGTGGTTTGAGTTTAATTTCTTTTGAAGTTCACTTCCTTTGTTTTGAAAGGTAATGAAAACTCTACGATCGAACAGCAAAAGTTCAAGTCACGAAGAACAAGAATGACTTGCAATTTCAAAAATAGACTATGGTTACTGAATTCGCAGCCAATGAAAACTTTACCTTTTGATCAATTTTCTCTAAATGGAATAACTTTACAAAATTAGTTCATAAACAATTCTTGAACTTCAAGAAGCTTATTTTTCAATCAAATTTTTTATTTAGTGTCTGTCTTGTAGTTTTTTAAGCATCTGTTGGCTCTGTTTTTACTTTTAGATATGCAGTGGGCTATAAAAACTGTAAAAGATACCTTTTGATCCAATTTTTTTTTCCAAATTGCGTTCGTTTCATTTAAGAAGTGTAAATAATAAGAGATTCTGAAGGTTTTTTGAAATTACAGTTCCAAAAATGTTGTCTTTTCGACACTCATTATTTTGTTCTTCTTGACTGCATTGACACTTTTCTAACTGTTTGTTGGCTATATTTTGGTTTTTACTCAAGCAAAGGCGAATTGATTTTTTCCAACTCAGCTCGCATAATTATCAGCTCCTTGGTCTAATTTAACATGTGTTTTATCCGCTTCATCGATGACTAGTGTTTGGAGGAAAGTAAGAAGCTGTGGCAAAAGTGCGAAGATATAAGACTCTATTTTTGGAGGTCGGGGTTCCCTTAAGAGGCAATTTCTTTTGGTTTTTCAGAGCTTATTTATGTTTTGCGTTTCAAACTCTCCTTTGCGAAGTGCAGTCTTGCCTCTGCCTTTTTTTTCTGTTGAGAACCAAATTTAGTGAAAAGCGATGGAATTTTTATTTAGAAGAGTTAGATTTTTCATTTGAAAAGGACAATTTTTCATTTGAAAGCCAAAAATGAAAACCCGCTCTTCGCTAAGTTTGGTTCTCAGAAGCAAAAAATTCAGTACAGCTTATCTCGACAAACTTGAGATGCCACATATGGCAAATATTTTAAAACAAAAAAAAGCTTTGAAAAACTGAAAGAATTTTTAAAAGTTGCGCTTTGACATTCGATTAGTAATAAGTTAACACAGTTGATGCATTTTAATTCATCAAATTAAACGAAAAAAGCTATTTGTTACAAACAAGGGTACCATAATATAAACTCGATTTCGCGAATTTTCTGACTTTACACAAATTGTCAAGGCTCCGTGGCGCAGATGTGAGGACAGGGGACTTTAAATCTCCTAGTCGTAGGATCGATTACGCCCCAGCAAGCGTTTAAATTTTCAAGGCTTATCTTGCTTATTTCTCTTTTTAGAGCTGTTTTTAAGTTGTTTTCTCGCCAGTGTTTGCGCAGCGTCGCCTCTGTGTTTAATATTATTTTATCTTATTACACAAGCAAAGCTTGTGCTATAGTATGAACTATATTTTTTGCCCAAAGTCGCAAATATTGTTGCGACAAAATTTGTTCATTTTGAAAGTGTTCATTTTGAGCAATAACCAGCTATTAAGTACAGCCAATGCTAAGGATATTTACACAGACTATTAAAGTACAAATAGCATGTAAGCTTCAAGGTATCATGGATATGTAGCGTAGAGGCAGGGAAGGAGACCAGCAACAAAATAAGAGGGCTTGAACCTGGGCACGGTCGGATGTTTTTAATGAACTTTTTCGTATACTAGTTAAAATGCGTCCTCTCTATAAATTGAGGCATGTTTGTTAGTAAATTTCTTTTTTTTTTCAAATTGACTAGTACTGCTAATGCGTCATAATTGGCTGGCGTCACTTAGCAATTTTATAGACTCATAATTGGCGTGCGTTACTTAAAAAATTTTGCAGACTCAAAGTTTTACTCATTCAGTTTTTCCCAGTAGCGTTATCGGTCATATTTTTGCTTGTGTATGCGAAGTGCAACTTCGCCTCTGTGTGAAAAATTTCAGTTTATCTGTTGGCTATGCCTCTTTCAGCGAAATTATATTGTTCTTCAGATTCGCCAAGGAGACATCGACCTGCCGATAACCAGGAAGAGTCCTATTTGGGTCAAGTTCCATTCTATGCCCAACAGAATGAAGATCCAGCTCCAACTAGACGATTCGGATTCAATCGAACTTTTAGCCGAAGCCCCCCTGGCAGAAATAGGAAGCAACTCACTCCTCATCGGGAACGGAATGCTAGAAGCCCACCTAACAGAAACCGGAATCACGAGGAGTTAAATACTCAAGAAAGAGTTCGAAGGTCACGTAGTCCAGTGAATAAAGGGCAGCGGAAGTCACCTAGTCCAGATAATATGAAGTCTGGCAAAAGGTTCAATCCAAGCCCTAATAGGGATAACAAAAAAGCTAACAGTCCGGGTGTAAATCGAGATCGAAAACCGATAAGTCGGGAGCGAAAGGAGCTTCCCGCTTCTTATCGTACTAGACATAGTCCATCACCGTCTAGAAGGAACCCCAGACGAAGTAGGTCCCGAAGTTACGGTCGACGTCGTGGTGCCTGGCGAGGATTCCCAGGGGGTCGAAGACCACCTGCACCTCCTCGTGATAGCGACAGACGGAAGGCTCCATCACCTAGACGTCGAAGAAGCAGAACCAAGTCAAACTCGAGTAGCTCTAGTTCGAGCGAACGAGACGAGAAAGCAAAGCCAAGTACAATTGTAAGACGGTCTGTATCAAAACAACGGAAGTCGTCGAAAAGCTCTTCGGGAAGCAGTTCAAGCTCGAGGTCTAAAAGCAGAGATCAAAAGCAGAAACAAGAACAAAGTGCAAATAATAAATCACCCGAGAAAATTGACCTGACTTCAAATAAAAAAGTGGAAACTGCAAAACTGGAAAGCCCGGAGAAAAACTCTGGAATCGAAAACCACACAAGTGAAATTGATAGTACTAAAAAGGTATCGATACCAGAAACTGAACCGCAAAAAGTCGAATCAAATATTTCTGAAAGAGAAGTAATTAAAAATGACTCCAACGATACAAAACCTGATGAAAAAGAAACTTCGGCTCAGAAAAAGCGGAAAGGAAAAATCACGAGCTACGAAAATGAAGATGATTTAATAGAGCAAAGCAGAGCAACCTTGGCGGCAATAGATTCCACTGGTGCTTCTAAAGCACTGGGAAATTTAGACATCGATTTGTTAAATAAACTAACTCAAAATGGATAAATAACTATTGTGCTCTGGAATGAAAACGCTGTAATTTTAGCACACATAGAGGCTAAACTTTTAATATAATTCGACATGGCATGTCTGACCCACGACGAAAAAAAGCCTTCAGATTTTTTGTTCCTTGTATTTTACCATATTATGTTGCTATAGATTTTGCTTTTAGTCAAAAATGCAAGCTGTTTTTTTGGGAGAGTTTGGCCTTCTCGCACTTCCAAGACTGATAAAGTAGTTGAAAGTTATTATTTATGAGTTATATGTTCACGGGACAAAGTTGAAACTTTCACGTTTTTCTCATTTTGTCTGAAGATGCGGTACTAAAATTTTGTCATATGATAGATGTTATCGATATATGTTTAGTGTTTCTTTGATGATCAGGACTGCGATAAGCCTTTAAAATTCCAGTCAATTGGCAGAAGCGGCTAAGACATAGCTTCGTCTTAATAGTCAAAAACGGCTTTCTTTTTCTATGTCAAGCCTATTTTGCTGATCACGAGGATGTTTCAACAATGAATCAGTGTGAATAGTACCATCTATCATATGACAAAATTTCAGCTTTGTCTTTTGAAAAGTTGCAGAGAAAATGGAAAACTTAAATGAAAATATTCGTTATCTTGCTAAATTGGAATCAAAACGTTGCATCGTTCTATTAGAAGAAACACTGAAACTCGCCTGTAATCTATGGGTGTTTCTCACTTAAGGTAAAAGCTCGTCTGTTGTTTTGTTTACAGCCTATTTTGAAATTCAATGTATGTTTATTTCATTTGCAATAAAAACAATCGGACTGGTTATTTTGATTAAACTTAATTGTTATCAAGAATTATGTACAATACGTTCTTTTTTTAAGCATAGGAAGGACCTGGTCATCATAGAAAGATTTATTACGCTTGCGATTAGCAAGCGTTATCAAACCGGAATGTGACTTTTTCGGGTTAACAACTTGTTTAACAGAATCACTTGAATCATCTGTATTTGGCTTATAATAAATTCAAACTTGTATGCGTTCCCGGGCACCTTAGCTTGGAGGTAACGAATATGCCTGGCACCGCAAAGTGCCGGGCTCGAATCTGAGCAGGACCGGTTTTTTCTAACGAAATATTCTGTTTAAAATAAAATTGTCGGCCAATTATTTGTCTGCTTATCTGCTGTCGGCGTAGTTGTCACATCCTGGATTCGTTTTTTTTGCTACGCGCATTTTTCTTATATGTTTGATTTAGTGTTTGATTTACTCCTACAAATCGTAATTTTACTTACCTTGACTGCATATTTCCTTTGTTTTTTTTTTGTTTCGCTAAAAAAGTTCCCCGGCCCAAATTATATCGGCCTATTTTTTATCGGCTTAATGACCTAATTTTGGTTCGTTTCAAGGAAAACACGACTTCAATTCTCACTTCCGCACTTTCGAAGTTAGTTGTATGTTTACCAAATCGGTTCGTTGAAATTTCTTTTTTTTATGGAAACTTATTTCCAAACTTATTCTCAGATTCTTTTTCTCAGAAACTTACTGATTTTCAAAAAAGGGGAATTAATTGAAAGACCGCTCACTCCCCTGTGTGCTTGCATACTACCCTAAAGAGTATGCAAGCACACTCTTGACTTTTTAATCGGCCCATCTGTCTTCAGTCTTCGAAAAAGTATGTGGTGAATATTTTACCGATATTTTTTATTGATTTTTCGTTTTCTCTAAAACTTACCCTCTTTAGTCTGAGTTTATGGCTTCAATGAATAGAACGGTTTTAAAAAACTCCCTGCATAAGGGCTACGCCCAAATTTTTTTCCACGTAAAGTTATGGGCCTCGGAATAGTCAAATTTTTGTCCGTTTTGTGAATCTTTTTGGCTTTTCTCGATAACTAACCCTCATTTCTGATATTGTAGGTTCATTGAAATAACGGGTAGTGGGAAGCTCCCCTGCATTAGCGGCCACTCACAAAGTTTTTACTCACAAAAAGTTATTGCCCTCGGAAAAGTCAAATTTTTGATTTTTTGACCATTTTTTAAACTTTCCGATTAATCTCGAAAACTACCCTGCCATATCTTAGAAAATGGGTTGCAGGTAGCTCGTTTCTTTATGCGACTACGATCAAATTTTTCTGACACCAAGACTTATGGCCCTCGAAAAAGTCAAAAGTTTGATTTTTTGACCGTTTTTTTTTTAAATAGCTGAGATGGGTTCAATAGGGTACAGGTAGCGTGAATCCTTTTTGCATAAGCTGCTACGCCCATTTTTTCACTCAAAAAGTTAGAACTCGGAAATGTCCAGTTTTTGATTTGTTGACTGTATTTTGGACTTTTCTCGCTAACGATCTGCCAAATCTGATATCATAAGTTGTTAATCGAAACAACAGATTGTTGAAAACTTACCTTTAAAATGGGCGATGCCCAGTTTGTTGAGGAAAAAAAGTAATGGCCTTCAAACAAGTCAAATTTTGAAGAGTTTTTTTATGGAAATTTTTTGATTTTACGCCAATTCTTAGGAAAGTCTTTTGACCGTTTTTTTAGAACTTTCGGCCTTATTTTTTTTGAACTTTCACAAAATCTACACAATCAAATCTGAAATGAAAAGTTCAATTGAAAGAACCGGTTGCGATAATTGTTTTTGCAGAAGCGGCGACTCGTTAGTTTTCTGTATGAGAAATATTATCTACGGGGTAAAAATTAATTATCTCAATTTTTTTCTCTTACTTATTTTAATAGACAAACAATTAAGGTTTTGGGCAAAGCCTAATTTTTGAAATCAAATTTTTTGTGCGGCATCAGTATAGCAAATTCATTCAATATCAAACACGTCCTCTATTATTAGCGTGGCCGCCAGTTGTTTTCGATGAATACATACGAAAATTTCGGTTCACCTTGTTTTTTTCAGCAGTTAATTTTTTTTCTAGTTTTGTTGTTTGTGTTGTATCGCAAGTGGTGCGAAGCTCTGCTTCACCTTTGTGTCAACTATGCTTTAAAATTGGTTTACTTTAACTGAGGAACAAAGGAACAAAAATATCACCTTGACAAACTAATGAGCTAGCCACAAAAATTTAAAGATTTTTGTGGCTAGTTCATTAGTTTGTCAAGGTCATATTTTTGTTCCTTTGGAAATTGGCTGTCTGAATCTATTTCGTTTCCAATAAATAGCTGTCTTCTGCTCCAAGTCTTTTTGGCGAACGATTTCGTTGCAGATGTTTTATCTGCTTTATTAATCTTATTCATTGCTGCCTGGTTGTTGATCTTAGAGGATGTGTTAACCAAACCAGACAGCAAAGTTGATCGGTCATTGGGGGAGACGAAAGACTCGTAATATGGATGTCCGGTGGTTTCAGTAGCCTACACGATTCATTTTCGTCTTCGCTTGATGGTGAATCTCATAGAACCAATCGTGCTCAAAGAATTTTGCGTAAACCTAGTAATAACGACTGAATTGAATGATCTTTTTTGAAGATAGTGCACTCCCTCTTGTTTTCAATTTTATTACAGGGTAGCTTGTTTAGTGTCAAAGAACGAAGGTCCTGATGAGCTTTCTCGTTTTTTTTGGAAAAAGTACTTTAAGTTTCTTTCTTTTTTCAAGTTTACTTCTTTTTTTGTCAAAATCAAGGCAAATATATCTATCAAACAGTAGAAGTGTAAAAGTCACAAAAACGTGGCCGACTTCTAGTTTCAAAATTGGTGTTTAAATTTACTAGACTTTTTCCCCGTAGGCAACTTTGTTCACTGCATGACTGAAGTTCACTCATTTGCATTTCTACCGAAGTTGCGCACCTAATTGCTGTAGTTCAACAACTGGTTTAGAGCTATTGAGGTGATTCTTGTTTTCTGTCCCAATGTGTTACGTTTTTAGTTGAAATTTTTTTTTGAAATTTTCTGTTGGACCTTTTTTGCATTAAACTTTCAGTTCAGTTCGTGTATGGTTTCTGATTTGTTTTGTTTCTAAAGTGTGTGGAAGTAGTTTTAATTTTGATTAGTTCAGTGTGTTTTAGCTTAGCAATTTCATTTGAAATCGTTTCAAGTTTTGATGGCTTAGCGTATTGTTTGAATATATCAAAAAAACCTTTAAATTCATAAACTTCAGAATTTTTTACAAAGGAATATGACGGCAAGTGTTGCGCGGGATCTAGGAGTGTGGAGTATGGCTGAGGTTCTGAAAAAAAGAGTTCGTGTTTTTTCCCTAACTGGCTATTTTAAATGTAGTTTTTTTTGTCATCCAGCTAGCTCTCCCAAGGTTGCGTAAAACTTTCAAATTAGATTAGTCTGATGTAATTGGGTTGTTTTTCTTGGCTTTCAGAGTTTTTCAGATTTTCTACGATTTCTTTTTTTGTGCAATTGCTTGTAATTTTTGCATTCATTTTCTAAGTTTTTCAATTTTTTCATTCGGGTTAATCTTATACAGTAGCAAATTGCGTATAGGGCTTTTTTTATCTCCGATTCTTCCTGTTGGATATGCATATTGTTTGGCTGGAAGATTTAAGAACATTTAGTAATTTTTGCATCTCAATTTTTTGACCGAAATTTATCTTTTCGTTTCCATCTATTGGTTCTGATAAATAATTGGATGGAATTACAAAAAGTGGCAATCCTAAATTTTTGCTCGAAGTTCAGAGGCTTTAAGGCCATGTATTGAAATTCCAAAGTCGAAATTTTTCTAAAAACCAAGTCAGTTTTTTTTTGTTTCCGTGAGTTCATTGACTTCGTTCCAGCAGTCTGTTGGGCATGTTTTTTTCTTATAAGTGTTAATGAACGATGTGCGTTTTCAGTTTTGTTTTTTCAGGAATTATTCTTGGTCGAATTTATATTTTTTATTCATGATCTATTTTTTCTATTTGTTGACTTTCGAATTCATTTGAATTTAAGTCCCTAAATAAAAACCGTAGCTTAAGTGTTAGTTAATGAACGATGCAAATTTTTTTTGCAGGAAAAGCTCTAAAATTTATTCATGGTCGAATTATATTTTGTTTGCATGACTTTCGCATTGAGGTTTAAAATATTCAACTTTACTTGAATTTAGTCGGCTAAATAAAAGGCAACAAGTTCCGCCTTCCAATAACAAAAGTGTAAATAACATGGGAAAAACTTTTGACTTCTAGTTTTGAGGTGTCAACATTAAAATCATATTGAAATTCAAAGCGTTCTAAATTCAAAGCGTGTATACACTTATGAAGGTCGAGTCAATTCTTTTTGTCTGGATAAAGTTAAAAATTTGATCTCGACAAATATAAATTTTTATTCTTACCTTTTTTTTAAATCAGAGTCAATTAATGTACTGAAGACTCTTATAAAGGTGTTGATGATTTTTAATGTTGATGTCTTTAAATTTGCTCAATTTTGATTTTTCTCGGTTTGTCTTTGATTTTTTACTAAGTTCAATTCAAATTCATTTGCTAAATAGGCGAATTACGTTCTCCAATTAGGAAAGCAGAAAGGGTGCAAAAAACCTGAACGACTTCTTGTTGCGAAAATGTAATTCAAATTTGAGATTTTAAAGTGGAAAACATTTATCCATTGATTCAGTTTTCTCGAATTGGGTTAACTTTATTAGAAATGGGTCAATCATAAATTATTTTCAAATTTCAAAGAGCTGGAAGGCTACTGGCGTTTATGGGCACTTTTCGAACTGTCTGTTGGCTGTTTTGATATTCGGAAGTTGAAAAGTCAGAGATTTTTTTTGAAAATCATTAACACTGTCAATTGTCTGTTGGCTATGTGTCTTCATTTTGATTCTTCTATTGGAAGTGCATGTTATGATAGACGAATAAAAAAAATTTTTTTTTGCACTTGTCAGGTTTTTTTTAGACAACAATATGGCGAAGTCGTGTGATGTTTCGAAAATTGATTTGAAGAAACCTCAATGGAGTCAGGAGACTTTCATTGGTCGAGCAAAGCACTTTTTTGTCGTCACGAACCCGCTTAATCTTCTGAAGTCATCCGAAGAGCTAGAGACGGCGCGACAAATTGTTCTGAAGCACCAGTAAGTGTATCTATTGCAGTTGCAAATGATATTTGTTCATTGTCAGGGAGGCTATTCGCTTGGCAAAAATACTGAAAAGGCGAATTTTCAACAACTCACCATGCTTCAAATTCCGAAACTGACTGATAAACTGACTGAATGCTGATTGGTTGAAAGCATTTTTGGGCATAAAAGATTCCACTGTTCGTTGTTAACAATTTTGACGTGCACCTTAGGAAAGGAGAGAAGTTGCAAGGGATTGACTCAGAAGAACTCTGGCGACAGAAGTACATCTATGATTCTGCCTTTCACCCTGACACAGGGGAGAAAATGATGCTAATTGGGCGTATGTCTGCCCAGGTGCCAATGAACATGACTATCACTGGACTCATGCTCACATTTTACAAGTTCGGTTTCTCGGTATTAGTTTTAAGTTCTATAATTAAGTGGCAGTTAAATTTTCAGGAGGGAACGCTTAAAGCGCAATTTCATCTAAAAGTCTTGTATAATATAGCTTAAGTTCGTGAGCTCTTTTTAAAGAGTCAAAGAACGTGGTGAAGACACTTGACAGATTGAATTGGTTTTTTCTCAGGAAATTTGATTGGGCAGTTCAAATTCATTACCTAAGAGGAAGGCAAATTGTGCTCTCCAATTGCGGAAGCGGAAATGGCGCGAAAAACAAAAACGACTTCTGATTTCGAAAGTGCGTTTTGTATTAATGTTTTCCAGCGTAAAAAAAATTTCGCTTTTGATCCAGACAACTTTGACCACAAAAGTTTCAGGTCAAATTTTATTTTGAAACTCGATAGTAGAAGTTTTTTCAAACTACAAGTCAGTGTTTTTTTTCTTTTCCTTGCATTCATTGACTCTCTCCCAACTGTCTGTTGGCTAGGTTCTTGAACTTTTACCTGCAGCGCAGAAGTCTTCGGTTGAAAAGAGTTTTCATGTGTTTTATAAGATAGTGTGTACAGTCTCGGGACAAGTTGCAACGTTTCTGTCGTTTTCTCTACAATTACTAGAGAATTGCGGTTAAAAGTTTGACATATGATGGAGGTAACTATTTATACAATTTATCAGAATCTAGTCTGATAAAAACCGTATAAAGTTGTTTTCAAGGCGTTGTTTTCGAAGGAGCCAGAGAGCTGTTTTTATAACCAGGAATCCCCGTGAAAAGCAGAAGCGGTTCGAAACTTTAAGACTCAAAAGTGTGCGTTGGAAAGCTGCGGATATAAGCTACGCCCTCATTTAGGTTGTCCTTCACAAATGATTACAAAAAACTACTCCGCTAGGAATTTAAAATGAACGCAGATTTTGGCGCTCTATTCTAAGTTTTTATCCGGCTATATTCTGATAAACAGTTTCATTCATCATATATCAAAGTTTCAGTAGTGAATATTTAATCATTGTAGAGACAACGGCAGAAACGTGAAAGATTTTTTTGTTCACTTTATCACTTGAAAGTTGCAACTTTGTGACTGTAAGTCAATTTAGTCAGCCTAAAATTGGAAATCTTTCCCCTTCCTCTAAAAAAATCAAAATCAAAATCCGCGCCGTCTACCAAAGTGTTAAGGACAAACATAAATGTTCTATCCTTATTTTTGTTTGTTTTAGAACGACGCCAGCTGTTGTTTTTTGGCAGTGGGTCAATCAAAGTTTCAATGCTGTTGTGAACTACACAAATAGAAGTGGGGATAAGCCGATTGACAATAAGTGAGTTTGCTATGTTCCGCTATAGTTAATTACTAGCCAATTTTTGTCCAATCCTGGGAGATATTGAATCAATTCAAAGCTTTTTAGGTTAGTTTCATTATCATAAAAATATTGAAAGTTTCTTTGCGCCAGAGAAAGAGAAAATATGAGCAGATAATTTCCTACGAACTAGTTTTTTTGAGAATTCACAGCATCATAATTTGTTATTACCGATGGATGCCTCAAGTCATAGGTTCTGTAATTGAAGGTTATTTTTAGACAGCTTGGGCTGGCATATTTTGGAGCTACAGGCGGTGCTCTTGGAACAGCTTTAGGACTCAACTCTTTGGTGAAGGTGAGATATATGTTATCTCACCTTTTAAAAAATAAGAGAAACAAATGAGCTTGAAAATAACTCCCGTAAAATAAAACCTAAATTTAATGTTTAATTCCAAATTATGATTGCTTAATACTTTCAAATAATGAAATAAAATAGTTTTTACCAAGTGGACTATTCTTAGATATGCTCAGAGCAGGGCAAAACATAGTTTCCACATTAAAATATCATTTAACGAATCAAAGACTAAACGTTTTTCATATATTGGCTACAAAGCTTACCAACCCAATAATTTTTTCTGTATGTTCAGAATCTGCCTCCTTTAGTGGGTCGTTTGGTGCCATTCTCAGCAGTTGCAGCGGCAAACTGCATCAACATTCCCATGATGCGAAGCAGGTATTAGAACAAAAAAATTCTATTGTTCTCGTTTTTTTTCGGTATTGGTGATAGCCAAATTAACGAAAGAAGATAAAATTAACTTCATTCAATCAGCTTTATGTAATGCTGCCTTGTGAGTAAAAAAATAAATAAAATGCTTCTTGTTCTTTAAGTTTTGCGTATTGAATGGGTTGCGAGTCAGTAATGAAATCGCGAAGGTTTCAGTCGAAAGGTGAGGGCTCCCAAGTCCACCATGATGCGGGCTTGTTGCTTGCGAGGCTGAGGCAACATTCCTAGACAAGAAGAATATGGCCAATTGTGTTGAATAAAATGTAGAAAAATGAATACCTTAATTACGAACACGATAGCAGTTGTTAGTAAAGAGCTAAACAGCTTCCATGCTCGTCATTTCCCTGGACGATAAATTATCTTTATATAAAAAGTTGCTTTATATTTACTCAGAGAACTGTACGACGGGATTCCAGTGTTCACTGATTCTGGTGAGAGAATAGGAGACTCGGTAGCTGCTGCCAAAAAGGCCATCCCTATCGTCACGGTCTCCAGAGTCCTGATGGCACTTCCTGGACTCAGTGAGTTTGCTCAATTTTTCCTTAATTAACCAACCAAACAGACTATCATTAGACGGCTGGATATCCTTGGATAGATTCGCTGCGAATCATAAAAACCTTTATTTTTTCGACAATAATATTTTCCAAAGTAAGCAATTTGTTTCTAATGGCAGGGGCGCTCAGACAATTCGGCCAAAGACAATTCAGCAATTTGAAGTTTAGACAATTCAGCCAAAAATATACAAACAAGTTTTTCAAAACGCTAGATTCGAAAGAAAAAATTGGAGTTATTTCTCAGCTTAAGGTCGACTATGGCTTTAGGAAATTAAGCATCAGTGAGGCCTTTGTAGAAAATTAAATCTATGCAAATATTGAAAAAAAAATCATAGATTTGTTTCTGTTTTTTTAGCGCTGGCGCCTGTGGTAATGGACCAACTGGATAGAAAAACAACCATTCTCAAAAGGCGACCCTGGATTGGGGCGCCTATCCAAGTAACTCTCTGTGGGGTATTTCTAGTCTTTGCCACGCCCCTTTGTTGCGCACTCTTTCCACAGCAAAGCTCGCTGTCTTTCAATAAGCTGGAGCCAAATTTGAAGGAACAAGCAAGAAGTGCAGGGTTGAATGAAAAGTCTTTTGTCTACTTCAATAAAGGTTTGTAATAACCGGTCAATTTGTGATTTTTGGGTCAGAAATAGATGGTTAAAAAGAGTTCTTTTAAGCTCTGGTGAAAGTCAAGTTCATCTCTTCTGAACTTAAAGCAAAATTTAATTTGCGTGGATTCTTTATATCTCTAGCAGAAACTGCAATTGATTTGAATTATACTCGCATGTCTGACCCGAAATGTACAAAACTGCGACAGTAAAAACATCCGGTTGTTCAAAATTCATTTCTCATTTCTGAAAAGTTTTTTTTGAAACTTTGGTAGTTTTTATTAGTGTATTAAGAAACTTTTGAGTGAAGTTTTGAAAAAAAAAAATATTTTTTTGAGGTTGATAATTGAAAACTGGATGTTTCAATGCCGTATCTTCCGTCTATCAAAGGTGCAGTCTATAAAAATTCCATCTTTCTATCTCAGTAGACATATTCTAGATTTTATAATTTACTTTGCAGTACTTTTTGCAGTATTTCATAGAGCAAGGTTATTTTCATATTTGATATTACTCTTCTGATATAAATTAAGTTGTTTGAGGTTGATAATTGAAAACTGGATGTTTCAATGCCGTATCTTCCGTCTATCAAAGGTGCAGTCTATAAAAAAGCCATCTTTCTATCTCAGTAGACATATTCTAGATTTTATAATTTACTTTGCAGTACTTTTTTGCAGTATTTTATAGAGCAAGGTTATTTTCATATTTGATATTACTCTTCTGATATAAATTTAGAAGTAAACAAGGATAACCAACCGGTTACTATGCAAGTATCACAGAATGTTCCGACCAGTCTTAAAAATACAACAAAATTATTTTTCAAGTAGTGCCGTTTTATCGGCTTAGTGCGATAAAGGAATCTGAGCGAAAAAGTGGAGCTTAGGCATTTTCGTCAGTCATGTAAAACATGCAAATTGGAGAACAGTTTTTGAAAACGTATAACAAGAAAAACAAAAAAATGAAGAAAAAAATTAGAACTTTTTTTTAATTTTTCAAAATTTTTTCCAAAATTTTTGAAGTTAGTGATTCCTAAGATGAAACTCCAAAAACTAACTTCGTTAGAGTAAAACTAAATTTTCAAGGCTTAAATTAAGCATAAATAAGCTAATGTAAGCCTGCTCACTTGCTTGAAATTCGACGAAAAATCAAAAATTCAAACCGGTATTTCTCGAAACCGGGTAAACTTTTTTGAATTTTTTTGATGTCGTTCGAATCACGAATGAAAGGGCTTTAATTTGATCTATGACTCAACCCAGTACGATGATATTTTTTGTTAGCTGATTTTGCAGGGAAAACAAGAAGACTGCTCACTTGCTTTATTCGCTCGAATTAAGACAAAAAATCAAAAGTTTCAAACCGGTTTTTCTCGACACTGGGAAAAAATTTTTGGACATTTTCAAAATGTGGTTCGAATCACGACTGAAAGGGCCTTTATATGATATATCACTCAACCCTGTCCAATGATTATTTGTGTTAGCTAATTTTGCGTGGAAAACAAAAAGAAGAAAAAAACTAAAACACACCCGAATACAAAGTTCCTCCCTATTTTCAATGGTCGGAATGATAATTTTGATGTAATATTCTTTGGAAATTTGAATTACTAAAAATCAAAGAAAATGACGCAACACTGTAGTGCATGTCAGATTGTTTTTTCTAGTTTAATAGTTTTATACTCATATCACGATTATTTTTGATACTTTGAATTATTGAATGAAGTTTTGTATCGATTCATTTTGTTTTGATCACAATGAGAAAGGCATCGTGTTTGATCATGATCATTACTGAAGCGGGCGTAGGGTTAGTGAGGGAAATATAAAGAAAATGAATAGAAGTGTTAATCGCTGTGTAAGTAGTACATAATGTTGCGATCATAGTTATCACTGCAGAAACAAATCGAAATAAAAAGTTTTTGAGGTTTTTATTCAAGTGAAAACATGGGTCGGCTTATACTCGTATGCTTTTACGACAGTACGAATAGCCGTTCATATTCTGCTGAGATATTGTTTTCGTGGATTGAGTGTGGTCTCTTCAGATGTGAATGCGAATTAAACTTTCACTTTGTGCCATTTTTTGCTATCCATTACTACATTAGTGATTACATTTGCAATCAGCTTAGTGTATAATTACGAAAATACTTTTTTTCTAACCTAACTCGCAAATAAAAGTGTTCATTAAAAGTGATCACATATTTGGAACGTTCACTGTAACACTGGAAATTGCATAGCATCTGTTCTCTGCTTAATTTGTGTTTGGTTCCTCTGAAGCAGCCGTGGCTATCCGGACTCCACCTCTGTGTTATAAAGTGGTATCAATTCAGATCATATTTTTTTCTGGATTTAAATGGTCTAACGGTGGGTCATTTGAACCAGTAGGCTTAACCAAGTCTGTTTTTAAATAGTTTTAGTGTTTTAAAGTTTTTTGCGTTGCTTCGAGGGCAAAAACTCTTGTTCGGCTATACCAGTTATTATGACAATGTAAGGGACTCCATGTTTTATTTTTAATTTTTGGTTAGAAATTTTGGAAAATGTCTAAAAAAATTTTAAAATAAAACGTGGAGTCCCTTACATTGTCATAATAACTGGTATAGCCGAACAAGAGTTTTTGCCCTCCAAGCAACGCAAGAAACTTTAAAACACTAAAATTATTCAAAACCAGACTTGGTTAAGCATCCAGACTCCGCCTCTGAGTTATAAAGTGGTATCAATTCAGATCATATACTTTTTCTGGATTTAAATGGCCTAACGGTGGGTCGTTTTAGCAAGTAGGCTCTGTTGTTACAAGTCTGTTACAACCTGAGACTTGTCGAAAAAAAATCAATTTTGAGTTGTTTCAGGCTTGTGCAAAGGTAACTTGTCTGGAATAATTTTTTTTGGTCTGTTTTTTTATCGTGAAAGGCTCAATCGTGAAATTTCTTCGATGAATTTGTGGTTTGGTCTGAAATATAGATTATGGTCCAGTGTTTTGTTAAAGACTCAAATTGATTGAGCGGCTTGAAAGATTATTTTTGTAGGTAGTGTAACTTTTCGCTACTGATTGGAGAGTAGTCTTGTGCTTTTTATCAGAAAACAGTCTCATAAATTGTGAATGATCAAATTTGATTTCTGGCGATATGGCTCTTGAAAAATTTTTTCGGCATCTTTGAGTTCATCGAAACTTTTACAATTGTCTGTTGGCTATGATTTTTTTGTTATTACACAGAATTACTGTATTTTATCATTACAGTGATAATAAAATACAGTAATGTGTCGATAAAAAACGCCTGTCGAGAATTTTTTTGTTCTGTGAGACACTCAATTACAACCTTATTGTTTCAGATTTAGTGATTTAGTCCGTATTTAATCAGACATTTTGATAATGGTCGACTGACTTGATATGGAAGGAGACCATGAAATTCTATTTAACGGCGTGTATTCGGTGCGAAACAGCTGGTCTGTTTTACCTTGTCACGAAATATGTTCACTGGATCGAGAAATTTTAAATGCACTCACAGGACCAGATTTGGGGTTCCAGCGAATCCTAGCTGCCGAGGACCGCAGTTCATTGTTACCGCATGTTGCTGGGACGAACAACTGGTCGCTCGCTGATGAAAATTGCTATGGAGTCTCAATGTCGCTTTATGACCAGAACCCCTTCACGTATAAAATAACAGCCGACCCGAATGCTGATTGCTTCGGTCTTTGCAAACGGGGCAACAATTCTGTACTTGTTGTGTGTGATGGGGTTAACAGAGGAAACAAATCAAGAATGGCTGCCAGATCCGCCGCTTACGGTGCCTTACGCTACATCAACGCTCATTGCTTCGAGCTAGGTGAGCAACCAATGAACACTCACGATGTGTTTGCACTATTGAAGCGTGCTCTAATGGCCGCTCATCAGTGCGTGTGTCGTAACGTGCATTGGTGCACGACAATCTGTATAGCTTTCGTGGTGCCTTTAGTAGCAGAAAGAGGAACTTACGCAGTGTGTAGTATAAACGTAGGAGATAGTTACGCCTTCGTAGCTCGCAGGTCGAAAGTGGCAGAGACTGAACAGAATGTTCCGAGTGGCGATGGGGATGTGGACGTGAGTAGTGTTGAGAAGTTCACGGTGGAGGAATTGACCATCACTAGCCATGAGTTCACGAAGGATATCGGCCGTGAGACGGGAGGTAATAACTTATGTTTTGGTTGTTACCTTTATATCTTCGCATATCTACTTCACTGCTGAAGTCTTTAAACTTTCACATCAGTTTCAAAACATGGGCCTGGCTAGAAGTTTTAGAGAACAAAAAACCGGAACCAAAAAATAATAACTTCTAGTTGGACCGACACCTATCGGGTCACCTTTTATATTGTGAGTGTATCTTACGCTTATTAGCATGAAAAAGCTATTTGTATATAAAGAGGTGCAATTTTGTTTTGGAAAATAGCAAAAAATTCATGCAGCTCTTAAGCAGGGGCACCACATCGGTTATCTGTAAAGAGCTGAACAGCTCGTATGTTGGTTCTTTCACTCGTGTAAAAATGAATCTTAAAATAAAAAGTGGCCGCTAAGTCTCTTCTCAGGTCACTTTAGACTATTGTGAATTAACAAACGACTGCATTTTTTACCATAATTAACAGGTTGATTTTAATAGCTGATGTATTCCAGATAGTGTTTTTTAGGTGCTATTGGACCTGTGACCGCAAACGACGAGCCTCTTCTGAGCAACTTGACATTCTCACTTGCCTACGCCAAAGAAGGCGACATTGTCTTTCTAACCACCGACGGAGTATCCGACAACTTCGACCCGGTAGTGCAGCGACTTCAAAACATCGCGCCAATTGCACCAAATGGAGTTAGACAAGAATCATTTGTGAATCTATCATCGCTAAGTTTGGGCGACCGACATGCTATATCACTGCAGTGCATGCAAAGAACTCTGAATCGATTCTCAGCCAGGTCTGAAGAAACTCTAACTGCGAGTAGTTTATGTGGTGAGTTAATGAGACACGCTTTGCTCATTAGTCAGGATAAAAGAGCGGTTCTAGAAGACGAAGAGCTTTACTCTAATTTGTCAGTGTTTAATCGCAAGACAATCGAAAAAGTGCACAGATCATCGGAAGTGAAACAATTGCTGGCCAGTACTAGAGGTAAGACACTGTCTTCTTTTCATTTCAAGACTCAAGAGGGGGGATATTTAGTGGTATATTCGTGTCGATTTTTGCGTAAGAGGCGGGGCGTCCATATACGCCCTAAACTCGCCTTTGTTCATGGATCTCATAGTAGAATTTAGGGGCGGCGGATATAGGGCTAAAAGTTAGGCTCTCGAAAAACTGGCTGCGACACAAAAAAGTTTGATTTTTGTTATTTTAGGACAGCTCGGAAAATCAAGCGGTCAAATTGTTAAAAAGAACTTTGTAATTTAGATTGTAAAAGAGCCAAGATTGAAATTTTGTTCTGAGTGAATTAAAAGTTCAGACTTTTGTTTCGATAGGCAAAATGGATCATGCTACAATTTGTGCCGCTACTATCGCGTCACAACAACCCGAAACACATCACACTGCGAGACGAAAAGACTCGCGCTCTCACGTGTTGGCTCCACAGTCAACCGGGGATGGAGAATCGTTTTCACTGAGGCGGTTTACTATGTTCAGTAGATCAACTTTACGAAAACAGAACAAGAAAAGGTCTTCGAAAGTTTCATTGCCTTAAAATCATCAAGCTAGCGGAGAAATTGGAGGGATGTGCTACAATTAAACTAACTCTTCATTTCTTACCAAATTGGTCAACAGTAGTTTAAGAACACTAATGAATTAATTTATCATATATTTATATCGCGGTTGAAATTTAATTTATTGCCGCTGAATTCATTTTTTCTATTTATGCTTTTGAATCTCAGTCAATATATAGCTTTATAGCTAAGGGGCACTTACAAAATCACAAAATGTATAGTTAATTTTGCGGTTAGCAACTGAGTGTGAATTCACAATTTATTTTTTCTTTTGTACATTTTAGGCAAATGGTCTATTTGGTAAAACTTCGTATTAAAAAATCCATCCTTAGCCAGCCGCTGGCTTACTTTTGAACTGGTGGCATGTAGAAAGTTGAATCACGAAGTTTTTAAGTTTTCTGTATCTATAAAAAGGTTTTCTTGGACATGGCTTTGCTTTTTTGGTCTTTTTTGCCCTTCTTAGAGCTAATTTTGCTCATTGGAATCTGAAAACAAAATTAGACTACAATTAGCGTAGCACGGATAGATTTTCTACACAAAAAAAAAACTTTTTTTATAAAATGTGTGTTTCGTTAAAAAAATTGCGTCTCAAAGGTATTTCGCAATACCTTGCAACATTGTGGTGTATGGAAAACTAAGGTTGCAAAAATGTGCACAACGGTGCTCTTTGATCATCTCTTAAGACTATCCACTACACATTTCCTAAAGAAGACACTTTAAGGACATTTCCAGGGAATTTTATCCTTTCGGGATAATGAGATAAATAGACAGTTTTGGGGAAAAAACATAAGACTTTGATATATTAATGCGTTGTGTCCATTAAAAATTTTTCATTTGTAACTCAAATTGACTGATTCATGATAGCTCAATTGTTGAATAAAAAATCATAAAGTGGTCGCGAAAACTAGATTTTCAGGAGGGTATTAGGTTTTAAAACCGATAGAAGACTGCTCATATCTGGGTGACGCCCTGGATAGTCCGAATACCTTTTAACGTATAGTAATTAATCCTTAATTATTTTGCTTTTACAACCAAGCTTGCGTTATCAAACTGGAAAATAGTTAAATATAGACTTTTTTCTAATTAACAATTAGTTTAACAAAATCAGTTGAATATTTCTGCAGCAACCAAACATGCTCAATTTCTTGAAAAATCAAATTTAACTACTGGCTAAGTACTAGTAACTACAGAGTGGTTTGAGGGGGGACGTGAAACTTTGTAAAGTTTTGTACATGGTAAGTTTTCGGCTCAACTGGTGTGTGCTCAAAGATTGTCGGCCTTGTCTCCGCTTTGTAAGTTTTGTCCAGTTGCTAAGTTGCATTTCAATTGTCTTGCTTGGCTTGTTTGCCAGTAATTCTGTTTGATAAAAACAGGAGTTATGAAAGTGTAAGTGTTTTTTTATTTCAACTTTTTGGAGACGCTTTATAAAATTTAACTAATTTGTTTTCACTGAAAGCTTTGTGCTGAAAATCAAAAAAAAAATGGTATACATAGAAAAACCGGCAACTTTTTTGGGTACCTGCATACTTCACTGGTCTTTTTTTGCTTTTCTTTTTGTCTACAGCCTTCGAAAACATCTAAGACGGGAATATTCGACCAATATTTTTTTAAGTTTTCTAGATAACTAAGCTACCAAATCTGATACTTAAGTTTCAATGAAAAGAACGGTGGTGCAAAACTCCCCTCAATGAGTGGTTATGCCCAATTTTTTAAGACAAAATTATGGCTCTCGGAATTGTCAATCTTTTGATCGTTTTGACCTTTTCTTGATTGTTTTTTTCTTTATATATTTTTTAAATTTTGCTTCAAAACTAACCTTCCAAACCTGAGGTTGCGGGTTTCATAGAGATAACGGGTAGTAGGAATCTTCCCTGCATTAGCAGTGCCACAAAATGTTTTTACAGAAAAAATTGATTGTCCTCGGAAAAGTGAATTTTTATAATTTTTGAGCGTTTTTTTTTAAATAAAATTGTTGAATTTAACCAAAAAATACCCTTCCATATCAAAAATTTTAGGTTCAATCCAATGAACTAGTTGTGGTAAGCTCCTTTGCATATGCGACTACTGCATATGCTTATACAAAACAAATTCTGGCCCTGGGAAAACTCAAAATTCTGATTTTTTGACGTTATCTGAAACTTTTCGATTTTTCTCGAGAACTACCCGGCCAAACCTAGGTTTTCGGATTCAATCGAAATAGCAAACTAGATGAATCTCCTCTACATATGCGGCTACGTCCAACTTTTAAAACGAAAATTTTAAAATGCTCGGGAATGTCAACTCTATGATTTGTTGACTGGTTTTTGGTCTTTTCTCGATAGCTATCCTGTCAAAACTGCTAACCAGAGATCATGAGATCATAGATTTAATCGACCGAACAGGTTGTCGGAAGATAAAATTTATAATTTAATACGCCAAGTTTCTGCTAGAAAAAAGTTATGACTTTTAACAAGTGAAACTCGAGACAAGGTTAGACAAAATGACAAAGATAAGAATTGCTTAAGAGTAAGCTAATTTCTGTGGTGCAATTTATCTGGCAAACTTTGAACTCAAAATTATATCCTCAAAACGTTTTTCACAAATAAGCCGAATTTCGAATATAAGTAATTTTTGATATTTTGTATGCGCTTAAATTTAAACAAAACGAATTGACATGTTCTATGGTCCAATATGAAAGAAACTTTTTCTAAATTTCAATTTTTTTTGATTATTCTAAATCAAAAATTTCAGCTCAAAACAAAAAACAATCGAACTTTAAACAATTAGATAAAAAATCATCAAAAATCAGATACGTGTAATCGAATGCAAACTAATTTTTTAGTCTTTGCACTCTTTGTTTTAGGGAAACTTTCTGAAAGTGATAGCGGTATTTAATTGTTTGCTGTGCTTTTAATTTCTGGATCGTGATTCTGGATCACTTTTTTGAGCGTTTGAGTTTTATTGGTTTTTTTCTTTTTAAAAATTCTTTGCTTCATTTAAAACAATCTTGTGCAGCAACGGGCTGTTTTTGTATGGTAAACTTGTTCATGTGAAGTATGCAACAGAAATTCATTTTTTTGGTCTATGTTTTTAAATGCTATGATCATTAAAAATTAAACTAAATTGTGGGAAATCCTATTTCTAGGATACTAGGTTCTTTTTCAGGGTAGTGGTTTTTGCTATTCAAATTGAGTTGCATATTAAATACTAACAAAAACATTTCACTGATCTACAACCATTCAAGAAAAACATATTTTTCCAATATGGAAAGAATCAAAAACAACGATTAAGTACAATAAAAATGGAACTGCCTTGTATATATTTCGTCTTAATTAAAAACGCATTTCAAAAAAAGTTAAGATTTCATTGCTAACTTTTGTAACGGTAAAAAACTTCAGATGCTTGATTTTCCAGAAAAGCACATTCAATTTAAAACAAAATAACTCATTAAAATGTTGTTTTTTGATAAGCTATTGATGAGTTATTCATGAGTATGTTTTTGAGAAACAGTCTTGTTGTAAAATTTCGTCCGCACATACTTCTAAGCGCTTTAATTTTCTTTTGATGAGTTATTTTTGGTAGTGTTTCAAAAATTTCCACCAGAAAAGTTTGCCAAATGGGGACAAACTTTCCTGGGGAAAGTTTATGAAAGACTACCTGAAAAAATTCATTAATGAAGAAAACAAAAAAACAAGAAATTTTGGCTTCTAGAAAAGCTATGTTTTCGACGTATATTGAACCAAATTACGCTTAACAAACCGCACTATTAGTAAATTGTTATTGAGAAAGAGCCATGTTGTAAAATTTTGTTCGTACATACTTCTGAGCGTTTCCAATTTCTACAAAATAGGAGCTGATTGCCGTGGAAAAGTTTTTTGGAAGGCGAGCTCAACAAATTCACCTCAAACTGCAGAAAAATTGTGGTTTTTTCTGAAGGCAGTTACTATATGACGGATCCAGTTATAGAATACGGAACAACGAATCTCGGAGTAAAGAGTTTAGCTCAGTTCTTTGATAGACACCTTTAAACCCAAATAGTCAAGGAAAAGCCGGTTTTGATCAAAATCTATTTTCTTACAGGGTTGCAGCCAAAAAACAGCTCGAACTACATAATTGAATTGACTAATGCTCAGTTAATAGCAAACAAAATCTTCGAAAAAAAGGCTCTCCTTTCATTGACGAGCAAGTTCTCTCCTATTTTGATACCTAAAAAGTGTTTGAGCAGTCCATGCAAAGCCATAATTGCCTGAATCTCAATCTCATAACTTTTGGATTTTATCTTAAACATCATTGCATAACAAATTAAAGAGAATTAGATAAAAAAACTTGAATCAAAATTCTGCTGAAACTGCTGAAAGCTCTAGTTTTTAATATTTGAATACTTAGTAGACTAATTTTTGTATTAGTAATACAATCTTGCTAAGCCAAGAACACTACTGATTCTGAATAGTCTTAACTATTCAAAGTCTGTGTTTCAATTTCAAAGATTTGGTTCATATAGCTGACTATACGTTTAATAGTAAATAAAAGAGGCAAAGTGATGAACAAAGGAAATCAACTGAAGCTTTGGGCAGGGGATATTTTAGATGCTGCAACTCTAGACGACGACAATATTGCAGAGGCGATTGCTGGTGGACTAGCAAAGAAGCTTTGCCAATCACTGCCAGGTTTCTATTTTAGTTTTCTTTCTACAGACATCTTTTATCAGTTAGCAGTCAATTTATTCATTTATGTATCTATTTTTATCTATTTTTCTATCTATCTATCAACCTCAAATTAGGACTTGTTTGCATTTGACTATTGAGTTTAAAAATAAAGAACATTAAAGCATGAAAAAGAGCCTGCTAGTAAAATTCAATGCGTTTTCGTTCAGTTGCAATATTTTTTAGTTCATCTGCTAAAAAAAATGTTGGCTTTTTTACCGCTTCGTTAGTATTGTTTGAATGCCAATTCGACACTGATAATGGTGTTTCTTGGAATTTTTCATCAAAAAAAAACTTCAGGAAAAACAAATCAAGAAAAATTATAAAGTTTTTAGCAGATCTAGTTTTTTGTCGTTTTTTTTTGTCAAGGGTTTTTCGACTGTTGAATAAAAAATCCACGATTAATATGTTTTACACACTGCATACAGCCTTCCTGTCATTTTTTTTTGAAGGAAGCCCGGAAAAAGTCA